TAATTTTTTACTCTAAAAATTTATTTTTAAGAACTAATAAAACGAAGCCGCCCGGGCCCATCGTCTATAAATTCGCGGACATCGCCTCCCTCACTGGTAGCTGTCGCCTGTCGCTGGGCAAATTATTGCATCAGGTCACCTGACGGAGAGATGCGTTCGGTCTCTCTCTGTCTACAGTAACACCGAACAGATGCGTTCGGTCACCTGTCGCTGCTCCGTGATATCTCTATCGACTCTCTCGTCATTGTTTCTCGCTATTTCGCATTCCTCCTTTATTAGTAGGCGTGACGGAATTTTTGCAGGAGTGAGGGAATATATTGGGTTTCAGATCTGAGATTCCCTCCACTTTTTAATCAATCGGAGAAGAAGCCATTGGCTGGTTTTTGGGGCAATTGAAAGGAACTTTTATCGCGCAAGGAGGGACGAGGGATTTCTAGTTTTTGGCGTATCTAGAGAGGAGACGCGGGAGGTTTTGTTGCTTGATTTTCCGTGTAACTTTCGCTGGGCGTTAGTTTGGTTTTGGCTGGGCCTAGAGTGAGGTTGCTGATGAGGTTGAACGAAGATTGCAGGAATGGGGAGGAGAAGGAGAACGATAGAGGATCATTGCCGCTGTCTCTGCCGCAGCTGAAGCTTGTTGTCGGGTATGCCCTTACGTCAAAGAAGGTGAAGAGCTTTTTGCAGCCGAAGCTGGAGGGATTGGCGAGGTAAGTATCTGGGGGAGAAATTTGAGGTTTTTCATATTTCCGAAAAACTGTTGTTACGGTTTCTCTTTGTTTTCTACGTCTCGAGATTTGCTTGTTCTTAGAAGCCGGGCAGGGGGAATAGAATTTGTTTGATTGAATCACTGCCAAATGCTAGCAAGTGCCATTCTAGCAAACATCATCGATCTTCGGGCGTCGGATTTTCTCTAATGTTTTCCTAATTTTTGTTTGGCTCAAATTGCTACACTTCCCCTCCCTTTTTCGTTCTATCCAAGCGAGGGTTGGCTTCAGGTGTTATTGCGGGAAAAGGAAATGAAAGAATAGGAAAACACGGAAGTTTGAGTTCTTTTTGTTAATAATTTTATTTTGTTTGTTTAACTTTAACATTTTAAAGAAGATTGAGCCACTCATTGGTGGGGCAATTCTGACCAATTATTTCATCTGAGTTTCTTTTGTGGTTATCATGCAATCTTGCCACTAGTTTTGTGTCCTCTTCTTCCTTTCATTCGGTAATTTTCATGCAATTTTGCCACTAGTTTTGTTTCGTATTCTTCCTTCGATTCGGTATTTCTTTTTCAGCTAAACGTTCCTTTCAGGGTTGAATGGTCTGGCCATCTCAATCGATCTCAAAATGGTGGAATTATTTCCAAACTAAGTTCCTGTCATGCCGTCAGCTGCTTCGGGATGTAACAGATCGTCTTTTTGTTTGCCAAACAAACCTTGCTAATTTTATTTAGTTTCTTCATTAATTTCTAGGCGGACTGTTGTGATTTTTTTTTTGTTTTTTTGAGAGGAAGGGGGGAAGGGGGGAATTACTTTCGTGTGGATTATTCAACAAACTTCGAAGTGTCCTTCATGGATATTTTGGTCCATACAAGTAGCTCGTTATGATTTATTTATGTTGGCTTTGTAAGCGTAAGGTCCTTGCCATCCATTGACAAGGCTTATATTTTATTGTTAATTTCTTGGATTGATCGATGCTATCTCGAATTTTTTGATTAATAAGAATATCCTTCTGCATATACAACAGTCGGATAAGGACGTGTTATAAATAAAAATATGTATTTAATCTTGACTCAGATGGCATTGAAAATATTTTAATAGTTTAATATGGAATTGCCGTATAAGTTTTTTTTTTGGGGAATTGCCGTATAAGTTGATAAGGAAGTATTGGCTCATTTTGTTTACCTGTCGGCAGATTAAACCGACACCTGTTTGTCTATTTTGTAAATCTGCATGAACATTTACATTTCTCTTGGATTTTCTAGATTTTATTATTAAGAGCCTTGCAGGTTGGAATACATTTTATAAAGCTTTTCCCATATTACTTCAAAAACTTTCATTAGCAGATTGCTTATTTTAGATCTATGGTATCCTTATTGGAGCCCATCTAAAGCTCCTTTTTCTTAAGTTAAATAATTTTGTGTAAATTCATTCTCGAAGATTTGAATAATTAATCCTCTACAAAGGTTAATAAATCCAAGAATATTTATATCATGATGCTGCCATTTTTTGATGCTCTCCTCTCATACATAAATTGTTAGAACTAGAATGAGGAAGAACTTGTTCTTCTTGATCTTGAATGAGAGAGTGAGGGAGAGGGAGGAGAGAGCATAATTTGGAGTGGGGAAACTATCCTAAAGCATTATTCAGTTTTCCCCTAAATCAATACATCTCATACAATAAATTTATAGGCATTTACATGTGATGTGTTGTCTATGCGGAACATCCTATCCTAAAATCGGACCAATACATAACTGACTCCCTGCACTAACTCCACGAGCAATCTTGTTGAACCGAGCCCAATTTCGCTTGCGAACTGCTTTCATGTGCGTTCTGATCTACGGCTCCAGCTTGCGCTCCTGCTATTCCACCCGTGATTTGCACGCCCGTGCCTTACACTGCCTGCTTCTAGCCTGTGCATTTTTCCTGCACAGCACACCCACGCTACAACAGTACTAACTCACCAGTCTTCCTCGGACACTCGTGCGAGCTCCAGGTTCTTGATCTTGTCTCTTTACCTCCGCTTCTATGGCACACCAAATCCGATCGACACTGCTCGCCGATCTGCCCACAATCTTGACCGGAAGCTCCACCTCAAAGATCTAAACCGATATTTAATTCTTGCCTATCAACACACGACATTAACATCCTTCACACTAAGCCTCTTCAAAGCTTGCCGCTCCAGGGTTCTTGATCTGCCTTTTCAACAAATGATCCGAAACTCCACTTGAATTTGAAGCTTCACTTCGAATCCATAGCTCATCTCACAAAATTGATCCCAAACTCATTGTCCTAGAAGAAATCTCTAACTAACTCTGGAGTTGCATCCTCAAAAAATAGTTATGCTACGATAGATTATTGGACTAGCCTCAAGTTCATGGTGTTAAGCTTGGTAACTCATGTTTAATGTGGTTCGCTCCATTTGATTTTGCCACACCATATCTCCATCCTTACCATCTAGAAGATGAATCAGGTGTTCCAAATCCTTATATTTTACTGCATCTTTATGTGTATCATAACTATTTTAGTTCGTAGTAGGTGCAAAGGTAGTTCTTTGATGGTAAAAACTTAGACCAAGGTGGAGATTGTTAGGATTGGTCCAAGTTTAGTTTAGGTTATTCCACAAGACATCACAATAATGTAAAGGCTTATATATATAGGCATTATATGAAATGTATTAATTTGGGGGGAAATCTGAATAAGTTTTAGGTAGTTCTAATTTCTCCTAAATTGCTCTCTCCCTCTCCTCCCCCCTCCCTCTCCTTCTCCTTCTCTTGCAAGAAGAGCTCAAGATGAGCTCTCAAGAATCTTCCTCCTAGTTCTAACAAGTGGTATTAGAGCCTCATTGAGCCAATCTCAAGGAAGGAGCAAGATGCTCTTGTAATCAAGAAGAGAGGAGCGCAGTCGCAACATTTGGTATCAGAACCACCTTGAGGTGGAGGAGGTTTTCTTGTCCAAAGAAAACGATTCAAGAAAGAGAGGAGCTGCCAGGCTTGTGACATTCGCATGGAAGCAAAGTTCTTTGATCGGGGCTTATTTGTGGAATGGAGATAGATCGGAAGACAGCAGCAAAGTGGAGCTGAGGTAGGAGAACATGCGGACTGGTGTCGCGACCAGGGCTTAATCGCGGGTTGGACCAAAAACTAGAGCAGGCCGGATCGTGTCAGCCTGAGGAGCAGTCGAATGCGAGCAGGAGCAGGCTTCTTGAGGCGCTGGAGTAGAGTGTGTGAACCGGAGGAGCAGTCGAACGCGTGGTCGTGGAAGCCACATGCGGACGGAGCTCGGGAGCGGTCATAGGATGGCTGTGGAATCGTGCTAGGTTAGAGCGCAGGAGTTGGTTTTGTGTGGGCTCGATTCGGAAGTTCAGAATCAGAGGCACGAAGTGCAGTACAGAGGTCTACGAACGGGCCAAGAAGATTTGGTCGCGACCGGGGAGCAAGGAGAGCCACTGAGGGAGTCTACAGGTCGGGAGTTGAGTGGAGCGGGAGGCGTGGAAGCGGCCTGATACCTCGACCCGGAGAAGCAACCAGCGAACTCGGTAAGGATTCTCACGAGCGTGAGCTGTGAGGAGCTGAACAACGGCTGTGCCTCTAAGAAGAAGCAGCTGGAAGAGAATAGCGAGTTTGCGGGGTTGCCTTGGCTCGCCCAAGGGTTGTTCAACCACAGGACAAACGAGAGTTGTACATGCAGGTGGAGTCGCAGGAGTCCAAGCAAGATTCATAAGAGCATGGGACCCGTTAGAAGCATGATCTTTCATTTCTTGATTAAAGATCGGTCAATATCTTTGAGGTGGAGCTTCCAGTTTGGGTTGATTGGCGAGGAGGGTCATTTGATTGTTGTGTGTCAGAGCAATGGATCAAATCAAGAACCTTGGGGCGACAGGTTGGTCACAGACTCAGGATCAGGCAGAATTTGGGGGAAACTAAATAAAGCTTTAGGATTGTTTCCCTCCTCTAAATTATGCCCTCTCATCCCTCTCCCTCACTCTGTCATTCAAGATCAAGAAGAACAAGTTCTTCTTCCTCATTAACAAGTTCTTCTTCCTCATTCTAGTTCTAACATAAATCATTCCAGACTTTTTAGCATCCCTTATGTTATCTCTATTTTCTAGTTGGTTTCACATCCGATAAATTTACATTTCGAGCTCCTCTAATTGTTATTAAAAGGAGTCTTCCCTAATCTTCAATGCAGGCGTAACTCTTTTTTATGGATTAAATGGTATCTATAATTTGTGCTATTTTAACATTTTAGTTGTCTTGTATATTATTTCATTTCTTTCAAATGTGATTTCTAATCTTTGGCATGCTTTTCTACTAACAACTGTCATGTTTACTAGTCTTATTCTCATTATCATAATTGGTTCCTTAAAAAAGAAACAGGATATACGTTTTGTATAAGAAGAAAGCTAGTCTTACTGCACATGTTATTGATTTCATGCGTCACGTATTATCCATCAATATAATTAAGCTATTAGACAATACAACTAAATTTACAACAACAACAACAATAACAATCCTATATCCTACTAGATGGAGTCGACTACATGAATCGTTTTTCTTCATTGTGTCATGTTAAATGTCAGATTCTTATTTACATCTAATAAAAAAAATGTCATTTCTAATACTTGCTAATCAAGTATTTTTAGGCCAGCCTCTACCTTTTTTTAACATAGGCCAAATAATACATCTACTCTATCTTTCTTTAATTTAAAATACAAATGCATCTAAATAATTAGAAAATACAACTAAATTATTAAATAAAATTATTGGAAGAAATTTTCTCAATTTCTACCGGAATACATGACATCTAGAAGAAATTTTCTCAATTTCTACCGGACTACATGACATCTAGAAGAAATTTTCTTTATGCATACAGGATAGAAGACAAATGCAGTTAAATTACTAGGCATTCACAAATATAACCATTAAAATATATATATATATATATATATATATATGCGCAGTGCTTATTGTTTGAATGATGTATATATATATATATATATATAAGAATCAATAGTATATGAAATTATGGGAGAACAGGTTATTACCTGACTTCATGTATGCATGTTATGAAATTAGCATAATGCTAATGCAAAATGTATCATGATATCTTGACAGTATTTTTTTCCCTCCTTAAGATGAATCATGTGAAAGTTGTATACTTTTCCTGTTCATTCTTTATGGTCATATTCAAGTATCCTTTAGCTGATTTACAGGAGAAAGGGGATTTTGTTTGTTGCTATTGATCATCAAAAACCTCTTGCAGAACAAGGCCCATTCGATATTGTGCTTCACAAGGTTAGCATATCACATTCCTCAATGTGGGCCTTATTCTTGTCATTTTGGTAGAGACATGCTGTTTTATCCGTCTTGTTGTCTTTTCAAGATCTATTTTATAATGTCTGGCTGGGAACATTGCAGTTGTAATATACTCCTTTCCTTTTTATTTTTTCTCCATATCTATTGTCTTATGTGAACAAATATATCAGGAAACATTATCATTCTTTTCATTCATTTGTTTATGGAGTTCATCTTGATCTAGATGTTTTTGCCTCTCCCTTGACCTTTTGCTTTTTCTTTTCAGCTGACAGGAGAAGCATGGGGACGGATACTTGAGGTTAGTCAATTGAGATTACTATTTGATCTACCACTTTGAACATTTGCATTCTATCTATTGTTCTTGTTCAACTTCTTGTATTTTTTTCTGCTTCACTACCTGATTGGATGTAAACTATCACTGACTTCAAAAGAAAGAATTGAAATATTTTGTATTTAAAAACTCATAAGCTGGATATTAATTTTGTAGTGCATGTTTTTTTCCTTCATCATGATTTTCATATCATTAAAATGGCTCGAGAACTAGGCTTTTGAAGTATGGCAGTTCATGACTAGCTAATCTAGCTTACAAAGCGGGTAACACCTCTATTGTGTTGCTGATATAAGTTACTTTAGATTCTGTTGAACTTTAATCAGTTGTTGCTGAATAATGGCCTTATATTCGTGTTGCGATATATTCAAATATGCTCGGCATTGCTATTTCTTATGCTTTAATAGTTTATTGAATGCCAACCAAGAAGTCAAATCATACTACTACCAAGTCTTGCTGTTTGTAGTGTAGCTTTAATTTTATACATGGCATTTAAGAACCTACTATCAATCAGTAAGAATCGTAGGGAAGGGTTCGTATGCATTTAACAATCATATGAGGGGGTGTGCTGCTCAAGTGATTGTTAAATATTTTTGTATTATCATTTTTTTAATAAATAGGAGCTTTAGATCATATTTCTCAGCCCTCCTTTTAGTGAATGTGACCTGTGTTATGTCATCGCTGGAATGCTTGGATCTACTTTAGGACTTGAGCTCAGTTGGGTTGAAGATTCTTCATCCAGGTCAGCATAAGCAGGCATTGATGTCCCATCAATCCCATCTAAGAACCTTACTTCATATGCAAACATTGAATCATTAGCATATGCTTAACTTCCTCTTTCCATCTTGCGTGCTGAAATTGAAGATCGACGGCCACGATTCAGAGCCTTTACTTTTGATGTATTTTATGTTTGAGTTATTTCGCATTTCAGTTTTCCTAGTTTATCCTGATGGGTAGTGAGTTCTTATTGTAAACCCGAGGGCATTTGAGTCTTTATTCTTTTCTTTATTATTGAGGCCTAATTATTTAGGTCTTTTGCTTTGTATGAGGTTAATGATGAATCAATAAAATAAAAAAATTCAGCTTTTCTTTGCTCTTGTTGCTTGTGTTCTTCGGAGAGGCGAGAGAACCCTAGGAGAGGGCCAACGTAATACCCAGCAGCCGTCGAAAGGTTTGGGCTCTCGGTTCGATTTCACTTCCTTTCTCTTTTTATTCCTCTTCCTTCATTCTTTCCCATACCGCCGGCCACCACGTGTTTTCCCCATCACCACCTTGGCCCCTAGCCGTCGGCCGGCCATCCACTTCAATAGCCGCTGGTCTCCCATTGATCCCCCTAGCCGCCGGCTCCCCTTCCCCAAACCACATGAATTTTGAATTTCAAAATTCAAACCTCCATTAATTGCTTTCCTAACATATTAACTTTGGAATGTATCTTTATTTGAAATTAATCCTACATTTGAATTTCAAATACTTTCTTTAATGTCAATTTTTAATTTTGGAATGTTTTAAATCTAATTATAATTTAAATTTAAAATAGCTTTGATTTAATATTTCTATTCCTAAATTAGATAACTCATTTAGGAAGCTTTTAAAGCCCTCCCTATCTCTACATGCCGCCGGGCCCCTCCCTTGTCCAACCGCCTCTCTCTCCCATTAAATCCCAAACCCAAATTAATACCTCGCTAAATCTCTCATAGCCGCCACCCCTTCTAAGCTCCATATTTGGAAGAGTTTTGAATTTTAAAATGGCTTCCCTCCCGCTTAGAAAATCTGAAATTAAAATTTCAGATTTATCCTACAACCTTTAGTCTTCCTTTCCCTATCCCCATCTCTTGGAGCCCCATCCTAACCTAGCTGAAACCCTCACCTTTCCTCTCACCTTCATAGTCTCTCCTCCTCCAACACAAATCCCTCGAGGATTGAGTCCAACAATCCGACGTCGCCTCCATGAATGGCCGATCCTGAAGTCGACCACGGGTTTGCATACAACTCCCAAGGGCAAATTGACATCCTGTTGTCGCCCTTCTTTGATCCAGATTGTGAATACAAGGATTCAATGGAAAGCTATGTAAATCACATACTCTATCATCTTGCCGAGACGATTGACGAGCAACGACCAACGACCAACTGGACATTGACAAATCGTCGGCCGACCATCAACTTTCCCTCCCCCGGCTACTTCTCCGGCGAACAATACTTTACCCGCCACTTGTCTTGTGGTGGCATCACTAGGGTTACTTCTACCCTTTCTCCGCTAAACCTCAATTTCAAGAGCGAGAGTGAGGGAACTCAAGGTGAACAGTTTTCATTGTTAAGCCGTGAATTTTTGTTTCATTGCCATTAGTTTTACTTTCTTATTTTTGTTGTTGCTTGTAAGTATCCTTTTAATCTCGTTTGTAATCGCTTGCTATTACATAAACTTCTAACGGAAATTTTTAAGAATCTAACTTGGTGAAACATAAGTTTACAATTAGCAAGGTTAAAATTCAAATTATTATTAATTTCCAAAAGCAGTTCTTGTTTACTTATATGTTTCAAATCATATTCAGAACTCCATACCGGAGTATTCTTCAATCTCATACGTCATCACTTGCAATGGGGACATGCAATTCTTCACCCCAACCTTCCTATTTGAAAGTTGATAAATCATTCTAAAACTGGATTTCATATTCCTAAACCTTGTCATAATGGCTTCCTTTGCATCTATTGTTCCTAATCATCAATTCAAGATGTGGACAACATCATGCCACAAATCCTTCTTTAATAGATCATTTGCAATGTTTCCATATAACAATTGCTCTAGGAGAAATTCTAGAAAAAAATGCTTTTCAGGCCACATGGATGTTCTACTCTAGGCCTTCTTCACTTATTCCATGTGGATCGACAAATCTTCTCTAGCAGATTGGTGTAACTAGAATTATTATGATACAACGTCTTCCTTTCAAGAATTTCTTCTGATATCATTTAACTGTTATATAAACATTATTTTTGACACTATAAGTTGAATCATACATTTTCCATTTAGAAAATGTTGCAACAACAATTAAGAATATATGTAAGAAAGATAAACAATGTATGTTATGAAGAAAATGTCTAATAACTTACAATAGAGAAGAATAAAAAATATATACCACTCTTCTTAATTTAGTTTTTAAAATTACTTTCAGTTGAATCTTCTGGTTTAAATTTATATTTGTTGACTGATGGTCACTCAAAGTCACTCAAAATCTCTGTACCTCCCTTCATTGCCATGACGATCAAAGTTTTGAGATTATTAAATCATTTTCAAGAAATATATAGTTTTACTTGATTTTCTCCTTCATTTGGATGTTCCTTGAGTCCAACAATACAAATAACTTTCCCAATTGTCATTGAATTATTGGAGCTCATTGCAACTTCTGGATTATCTTGTTTAACTTTATCTAATTTTAAGGCTAACATATTTTTAGATATTTGATAGAAAAATTCTAATTCACGTGTGTATTTAAATGTACATGAGCTTACAATATATTATTATTAGTAATTGCATAGCTCAAGAACAATCCTTGAGTAAAGATGACATCAATCTGGAAAATTTAATACCAAAATGAGCAAAATGTTATGAATTTATGTTTAAAAGAAATTATGATGAATTTTTGTAACTCATTTGGCCAAATGCATCATTATAGGTACAAAAGAATTGTTTAATAGAAAATATCACGGGCGAAATAAATAATATCAATGCCAAAAATTTCAAGTACTAAATAAGTTTTATATAGGTGCAAATATATATTTTTTTGTTTGGAGGACTAACAAAAGAAGCACATAACACATGGAAGTGGGTACCGTCGCCTTTGGCTACTCGGCACTTGACTATGATACAGCGGTTTAGCAGGAACCGCCTATTGAGGTGGTTCAAAAGGAACCGCCTCAGTCGGCCCCATCTGGGCCGGCAATTTTCTACAGGAGGCAATTCAAAACCGCCTCCCTTAATGCCTAAATAGGCTTGCCGCCTATATGTGGGGCCCAATGAGTTTAAATTTATTTGAAAATTGTTTTTTTAGGAAGGGTTTGGCAGTGGAGAGCTTAATAAATAGGAGAGGTAAGGGGCAAGGGGGAGGCATGCTTAGATTGAAGTTTCTCTTGGAGTCTCTTGGAGTTTGAGGGCTCTAGACCTAGCGTCTAGAGACTGGGAGAGAACGATCCTCCTCTCGAATAGAGAATCACTTGTATCTTGCTTTCTTGTTGGGTTTGTTTCCTTTCGTTTGTTGCAATTTATTATTTTGGGGCTGATTTCGCCTAGATTTTACTTTATTCTTACTGTTTTTCTCCAATTAGTGATAAGTTTGATTGTGAACTCAATTATTCCCTTAGGGTTACTTGCGAACTCAAGTATTTCCTATCAAATTGGTATCAGAGCAAGTCTTGGGACCGTTCGTGGGCTGTTGTTTGCAAATTTCAGCGGCTGATTTTTGATCGGAAACGGACGAAGTACTGTTTTTGTAATCCAAATCCGGAATTTTTGGATTTACAAAAGTTCGGATTGTGATGTCGGCCTAGAAAGTTGATGCGCTAGAAGAAATACTTGAAGGGGAGATGAATCAAATCAAAACGACAGTGGAAGAAATGATTTCTTCAATGGAGGGACAAGTCGCCGATCTTCGAGATATGATGAAAAAATGCTGGAAATTCAAAATAAAACAGCGGCTTCAATAGCAAAAGGTACGAATTCTGAAATCCGTAGGGAGGAAGAGGAGGTGGAAATCATGGAAGGAAAGGGAAAAAGGTACCATCTGGAGTCTGTCCAGAAGGAAGAAAGAGGATGTGGATATGGGTAATGCTAGGAGGAGTACTATAGCCGCCGAGGTGCTGATTTGAAGAAAGAAGGGGGGATTTCGAAGGGGGTTTGGGATATGATAGAGAAAGAGAAGACCGGGAAACTTGGGGTGCACCTAGCACTTGGGAGGAGGGAAACTATGGAAGTATCCGGGGCAATGAGGGGATCAAAAGGTGAGGAAGTTGAAGATGCCCATATTCGAAGTAGAAGATGCGTATGGGTGGATTTACAAAGTGGAGCGATACTTTGCCGTCAATGGGCTGACGTAGGAAGAGAAGCTGACTACAGTCGGATTGTGCTTGGAAGGGAAAGCCCTGTCGTGGTTTTAGTGGAGAGACCAAAGAAGGCCAATCAGGAACTTGAGGGAATTTAAAAACTGCATAATATAGCGTTTCCAAACCGATCGGGGAGAAGACTTCCATGAACAGTTCTTTGCTCTGACACAGGAGGAATCAGTAGCAGATTACCGGGAGCAGTTTGAGCACCTAGCTAGCAGGGTGGAGTGACTCTCAGATACAATATTGGAGAAAAATTTCATGAAAGGGCTAAAGGCGGAGATCTGAGCAGTAGTGAAGGTTTTGATGCCCTGTGAATTGGGGGAGGTCATGAAGTTGGTCCAACTGGTGGAAAATCAGATGAATTTGGAGAAGAGAGCTAAGAGTAGTAGCACCGGGGGACACGTACAGGATGATGACCACTCATCTCGCACCTAAAGTCCTGCAACATGAGGAAGTTAAGAGGCCACCAAGGAGAAAACAGGAGGAGGGAATGGGGGAAATTTCAAGTGGCTGACAAAGAAAGAGATGCAGGAGAAGAGAATTAAGGGCTTGTGCTTTTGATGCGATAAAAAGTACACACCAGGATATCGGTGCAAGGATCGAACTCTTCAGGTTCTCACCGTCTGCGATGACGAAGAAACTAAGGAGGGAGGTGAGGAGTCAGAGGAGGAAGAGGAGAAGCTACACTTGGATCTGGCTGAGGTTTTCCTAAACTCAGTGGTAGGATTCACTATGAATCACACCATGAAGGTGAATGGAGAGATAGAGGACAGGGAGGTTGTGGTGCTGATTGATAGTGAGGCTACCCACAATTTCATTTCCACCCAGTTCGTAGACCAACTGGGAGTGAGATTGGTGGACACTGGCTGTTACAGAGTGATGATGGGTACGGAGAAGATAGAGAAAGGTCAAGGGATTTGCAGAGGAGTGCGAATGATGATCTAGGGGATATAGGTGAGGGAGGACTTTCTTCCACTAGAGCTTGGAAGCACGGACGTCATCCTGTGGATGAAATGGCTGCAAACTTTGGGAGACAACAAAGTTAATTGGGGAGCACTCACAATGGAGTTGATGGTGGATTGAAGAAAGGTAGTGATTAAGGGGGATGTGGGGCTTTCCAAATCCCTGGTTTCTTTTAAAACGATGGTGAGGGACATCCAGTTGGCAGGCGGAGGGTATTTGGTGGAGTTGCATGCACAGTTTGGAGGGAGCGGGATTGGAGGAGGGAGGAGACATACCACTCTCCATTCAACCATTAATTCAGCAGTTCCAAGAGGTGTTTCAGCCACCTCATGGATTGCCACCGCAGAGGGAGCAGGAGCATTTCATAGTGTTGAAGGAGGGAGTGTCGCCCATCAGTGTCTGACCTCATCGCTACCCTTAATTCTAGAAGGATGAAATAGAAAGGTTGATTAGAGGGATGCTGGATGCAGAGATCATCATACCTAGCATCAGTCTCTTTTTTAGCCTTGTTCTGTTGGTGAAAAAGAAGGATGGCAGCTGACGTTTATGTGTAGACTTTAGAGCCCTAAATAAAGAAACTGTACCTGACAAGTTTTCTATACCAATCATAGACGAACTGTTAGATTAATTGAATGGGACCGTGATCTTCAGCAAGATAGACTTGAAATCGGGTTACCATCAAATCCGAATGAAGGAGGTTGTACCCAAAACGGCCTTTAGAACTCATGAAGGACATTATAAGTTCTTGGTGATGCCCTTTGGCCTCACCAATGCTCCTGCTACTTTCCAGACCCTTATGAATAAGGTTTTCAAACCTTATCTCAGACGATTCGTACTGGTATTCTTTGATGACATCCTGATCTACAGCAGGACAAAGGAGGAGCACTAGGATCATTTGAAAAGGGTGTTAGATGTACTGCAGGAGCACCAACTGAGGGCTAATTTGAAGAAATGCTGCTTTGCACAAGCCAGTATAGAGTACTTGGGCCATGTGGCGTCAAAAGGAGTGGCAGCAGATCAATCCAAAATTGAAGCAATGCTAAGGTGGCCAGTGCTGAAAAATTTGAAGGAGTTGAGGGAATTCCTAGGACTGACGGGTTACTATAGGAGGTTTGTTAAGGGGTACAGCTCCATAGCATGGCCACTCACTGAACAATTGAAGGACGGGTTCCTATGGGGGGAGGCAGCCACATCAGCATTTGAGAGCTTAAAGAAGGCGATGACTACGGTGCCGGTCCTAGCCTTGCCAGATTTCACTTAGACCTTCATTGTGGAGACAAATGCTTCCGGGTATGGGCTGTGTGCAGTACTGTTGCAGAGTCGTTAACCAATTACCTATTTCAGTCAGGCTTGATGTTGTTGTTGCATTTGGTGATTTGAAATTACATAATAAAGGCTAAAGATCCTTTTTAGTGGAGGTAGGGGTGTAAGTGAGTCAAGCCGACTCGGGATCGACTTGATAAATGGCTCATGAGCCAAGCTCGATGAACTAGCGAGCCAAGCTTGAGCCAGCTTTGACTCGACTTGTTAACTTGTGAGCCAACTCGTTTAAAAAATATCAATATGAAATATACTTAAAATATATTAGGGTTCAGGATTTTAAGTATAAAGTTGAAAATGTTTGAAAATTATATCCCACTTTTTGTGTTAAAAAGTTCTTTATTATTTTCCTTATAATTTCTCATTCTTTTTACCATTATATTATAATAATGATTTAAATCATAATAATTTCTCTCTTTCATAATAAATGAGCCGGCTCGTGAGCTGACTCGAACTCGTTGATTAAAGCTCGAGCTCAAGCTCGAACTCGATCAATTAATCAAGCTTAAGCTCAAACCAGGGGTAACTCGAGCTCGGCTTGGCTCGTTTACACCCCTAAGTGGAGGTGTAAGATTAAATATAAAATTGTTCCACTCTATATTAAATTCAAAATATAATTTAGAATTTTAAGTGTAATGGCCAAGGGTAAACCTTGCTTCAATACTGGCAGTTTGCTATTGCATAGTTTTCCATTATTTACCTACTTATATCAGTATTTTTTGCAAAGTTTTTAGTTACATCCAAAAAGATTATGAAGCATTGTAGATGGTTGAAGTGCCAGTAAAATTAAGCTGCAGTAATTTTTTTTTTTTTAATTTATAAATGTGCTATGGTAATGAGTAATGACTTGTTACTAATTTTTTATGTGAACCAATGACCACTAGTGTTAATGCATTTGTTGGCCAACATAAAATATATAGTTTGTCTTATCCTATATTCATGAACTGTCCGGGGCTGTCCTCTATGAAGTTATCTATCTTGTATTTATAAAAAAGCTCTTTTTTGAGGCATTGACTGGGACCAAGCTGTCATTGTGAAGTATCAATGAGGTGTTGCTGCCTGTAAATTTATGAACCACTGAAAACTTAATCAGAGTCAGGAAATAATACTGTAAAGGTTGCATTGGAATTGGGCACTAAGGTATCTATGGAAGCGTTTATTCATTAGCTTGTTAAATTAAATTTGCATTTTGGAACCGGGACTTATAAATTACCAGTCAGGGGCGGAACCCACCTCAAATTTAAGAGCGGGCAAAATTCTCATATAAATGTACTAATATTTAAAAAATAAAATAAATACATAATTCTAATCAAAATTTTGTATTTGATTATGATTGATAAATTGAAAAATGATTACAAGTTTATCAATCTATTTTATATTTTTTTATAATATTGCATTATAACTTCATTGGAAATCAAATTAAATACATCTTTTTCAATGTAAGGCATTAGATAGTCGTTGAGCCTATCATTTTATATCCTACTACCAATCGATATTTGATAATTCTCATTACATAAAATGTTCTCTCCACTATAGCCATAACAACTGATAAAGTTAATGCTAAAATAATAAATCTATATAAATTGTAGCTATTGTGTATAATTTTTTGCTTTAAACAAAATTTAGAAGTTTCAACTGTCTTCTACAACTTGTATGAATTAAAAAAAAAAAAACATTTTCTTATTTAGAAAAATTAGGGTTGCCGGTGGCGGATGAATTACTTAAAATATCATTCCTATTTCCTACCTAAAATATCATTACTAAAATTAATTTATTAAAATTTTAAGGGTGGGAATCGCCCACCCTCAAGCAAGCATAGGTCCGCCCCCGTTGCCAATTGATTTTGGATGATGAGTAAGATATGAACAAATAAATGCACATTCCATAAATCAAGAAGTTTCTTTTGGCCAGCAAATTGAACTAGCATTATTGGAACAAATGTATGGCAAAATGGGGGTCTAAAAGAAATTGTTGTTTATGAAGTTCGGATTGTTTGCATACTCTTTGTGTGGCTATTTGTTTGAGCATTAATCTTTCTCACAGATTACTGTTTATAGCTCACTTACATATTTCATTCCACTTCTTTTTTGTCAAAGGATTATCGGGAGAAGCATCCAGAAGTAACTGTCCTTGATCCTCCTGATGCCATTCAACATTTATATAATCGGCAATCCATGCTTAAAGACGTTGCTGACATAAATTTATGTGATTCATATGGTACTTTTCACATTATTCTAAACTGTGTTATTAAATAATTATATTTTGCTGAAATCTTTATTTTGTAAAAACAGTGCTTTTAGTTATTGTGATGTGAAACAACATGCGATAAACAAGAATTGCAATTAAGATATTAATAGAAGTGATGAATTTTACTTTGCTACCAAATAACTCTTTGTTTGCTCAAGTTAGAGTTTAAGAATATGGCGTTAAAAGATTAGGCAATAGCAATAGATTACATGTTGAGATTACAAGAACTTGTAAAATAATAACCAAAGTTTTAGGTAATGCAAATAGCCAATTATAATGAAGCCTCAAATTTAAAATCTAGATCCTTCACTTTGAAGTCCTTCGCTCGCTCTTGGAAGTGGTGGCTAGCGGGAGAGGATCATAAGTAGACTCAGCGATGCCACTAGTAGACAGGTGATACCGAGAGGACTCGTCGCCGGGGAAGAAGCCGGAATTGGAGGAGCGGGTGGATGGCCGTCGATGGTCCACTCGCAGTCTGGACTTTGTCTGTCGATGACGTGCACGAGGGTGGGGAGGATCCGATCCAAGTAAGCTCCAACGGTGTCGTCGTCGGGGTCAAATCCCGCGTCGAAGAACGGCGATTGTAGGATGTTGAGATTTCCGTGGGCGTCCAACACAAGTTCCCATTCAAATTCGGGGTCCGCCATGCATGGTGGGATCTAGTAGGGAAGAGAAAGCGGGAGGTGGGAGAGTGGGCCGTGAGCTAGGGAGAGAGGGGTCACGGGTTTGTGCTAGAGGGGATTCAATTATGGTGGGGGTCAAGTGGTAGGGTGCAGGAATTCTGAATTAAATTCAGATTTTGGAGGTTTAATGTTGGGATTTAATTTGAAATTCAAATTAATCCAAGGAGGAAGGAGGCGGTGGCAGGGGAGGAGAACGGGCCGGCGGCAGGGGGCAGGCCGGTGGGTTGGGGCTGCAGGCCGGCGACCTGGGCAATCCAAAGGGGGGGGGGGGGTGGCATTGAGCAAGGGAGGGGAAGAGGTAGGGAAAAATTTAGGGATTCAAGGAGTGAATTCCAATCTCCCACAATTGCTTCAACCCAAATCTCTGCGACGACGAATCGATCAAGAGAAATAAAGGGAAAATAGTAGAACAAGAAAACCTAGAACTCACAAAGAGATCTAGTTTCTCCTACGAACTCACTAAGAGATCGATGAGGTTTGCACTCACAAAGAGAACATGAAATGTCAAATTTTCATTCATCCAAAACTAAACTATTACAATGCATGATGCCTCGTGTAAGGAGACCAAATTAAACATAACTGAAATGACATAAACGTCCTCAGGGTTACATAAGTGAAACAATGCCCTCATGGGCAAACTGGGAAAACAAAAGAAAAAAGAAAATACACTCATAACATAAGATGCAAATAGATCAGAAATAGAGACTCTGGATCGTAGCAGTCGATCTGCATCTCCAGCGATGGTACACGTGTCGAAATCTGATGTCCCCATCATATTGATAGTTTAATACAACACAGCTTAATCATTTTGATAGGGGCATGGTGTTACATTCATGACTTGGTATTAAATGCAAATTGGTTAATGCGCTTGCCTCAGAGGTTTGGGCGTTCAATCTGGTGATGACTGTAACAGTAACTCCTTAATTCTTCATCCCCATTTATTAGGTTAGGTTCTGGCGGTAGATGAGGAAAGTCGCATAGGTACCGTTGTTAGTATCTGTACTTAGATCATCAGTGGTTGTCTCGAGTTTAAGGAATTTGATCTAGAGGAAGGTGTTCATATGTTGTTCTTAGACATTTTTAAAGCGACTGCCTCTTGATTCTCTAAAGCTTTCATTATTGCAGGTAAAATTGGCGTTCCTAAACAACTAGTTATCACTAAAGACTCATCAGCAATACCCGATGCAGTTTCAAAGGCTGAGCTAACTTTGCCAATAGGTAATTATTCAATTTTTATGCTGCTAGACGTCTGGAAAGGCTGTTATTTTAAGTTTATAAATCTCATTTTTTTGAGTTGCATGATTATTACTTTTTAACTGAGAGATTTCATTAGGTATTTGTGGTCTTCATTAAAGCTTTGAAAGATGTCTTAGCCAAAATTATTGTTTTGAACATGAATAAAATTTCAAATTCTATGTTGATCATGATTTGATTTGTTATCGTGCTTCTTTGAACATGTGGTTATATGGAAAAGATGAGATGATGAATCTTTTTCTTTGCGTCAGGTTTTGCTAAAATAGGTCAGCTATAGGATGAGTTCATTTGTTTCAATGGCGGTCTTCCTATGAGCTTTCGAGTAGTGAATATTTTGATTGATATGCTGTTCATACATATAGTCATTGATTTCCGCTCTACTCTGGTAGTAACATGCAGTGCACTTGCTCCATTTTTGCTTGAGGAATTTCTAACCCCTGCTACTTGTTTTCTTTAATTCACCAACTGGTTTGAAAATCTGGTTCATCATGCAATAATCGTAAACATGACAAATGGATGTAGGAATAGAAATTCACGAATTTAGGAGGCAGTGCAGTTGATTTTGGTTAGGTTTTTACACCAACAATGTCTTACTTGTTTCTTGTTTGCTGCAGTAGCTAAGCCACTAGTTGTGGATGGAACTGCGAAGTCACATGAGTTATCGCTTGCTTATGATGCATTCTCCTTGTCAAAGCTTGATCCTCCTATAGTTCTTCAGGAGTTTGTTAATCATGGTGTGCATTGTTATGAATATTTTATTTCTTCCTTCTTATCCCATGGTTATCGAATTAATATCTTGTTTTTGGCTTTGTTGTAGGCGGCCTCCTCTTCAAGGTTTATATTGTGGGGGAAGCAATAAAGGTTGTTCGTCGATTCTCACTTCCTGATGTTGACAAGCGTGAACTTCGGAAAAATGCTGGTGTCTACCGGTTTCCAAGGGTTTCTTGCGCTGCAGCTTCAGCAGATGACGCAAATTTGGATCCTGGCATTGCTGGTAGTGTCATTGACAGTCTTATATTAATTTCTTTGAGCTTTGTTGCTGGTTATGTTAATGCAGTGCATACTGAAGTTTCCCTGAAGAGACGTGTGCAATGTTCACATGTCGAAGTTAAATTTTTATGCAAAGTTTGGCAAGGCACATTGACATTCTTTTGCCTAATACTTGTGCTTTACTTATTGATAATGTAGAGCTTCCTCCTCGACCTTTGCTGGAGAGACTTGCTAAAGAGCTCCGTCGTCGTTTGGTATGTCGTTGTCCTCGCTATTTCCTTGTCCATTCTGAAAATCTTTGTTTTGTTCTAATTATTTATTATGTATACAGGGTTTACTCTTGTTCAATATAGATATAATAAGAGAGCATGGGACGCGGGATCGATACTATGTTATTGATATCAACTACTTTCCTGGTCTGTATTTAGATTCTTTTTATCATTTTGGATTATGTATGTTATGATGACTTAGTTATTCTTTGTATTGTTGCCAACATTAAAGTTTTATGTCAATTATGGCTGCTTCTAGTCTCTCATCATTAGGAACCAGGTAAAGAGCTCTTTATAGCTAGCTGTAAAACTCTCTTTTTTCCCCTTCCTTCGTCATTAAGTTTATTTGGAGGAGCCATTAAAGTTTTGAACGCTTGGCGAAAAAAACTTTGGTGGTACATTGATGATCAAGCAGACTGACATGCATATTCTCAATAGTGGTCGACCCTCAAGCACAAAGATTTAGAAGCTTTCATCTTTCACTCTCCTTTTTTGTCCTAGGATCTAAACTATAAGAAAGGAGGCATTAATGAAGAATTGAGTCCTTTTATGTTTTTCGAATTTATCTCGGCTAGTTCGATTCTAACCCTCGTCATGCTACCACCTAAAATATGGAAGTTTCAATTAGCTTGTTAAATAGTAAGAGGGATTGGAATGATAATAAGAGGGGTTCCTTTAGTTATGAATATACCTAATTCCAATAGACAAATATACCATATTTTGTTAATTGGACCATATTCAGCCTACACTAAAGTAGTTGATTACAAGGTTGCAAACCTTTGCGCTATTTCTTGTGAACAATCCTAGCATTCTCGCTCCTTTCAGTGTCACGGACCTGATACGACTATGGACCCCACCTCATTTCAAGAGCCAAAAGGCTCTTGTTTTGTGGTTCCCAGCATCTCATTTCAGACCTATATGAGTAAGGGGAGATCATTGGAGGAAATGTGGGGTGCATTTATGGTGGGATAAGTTTAAGGGGAGATTATTGGAGGAAATGTGAGGTGCATTTATGATGGGATTAAGGCTGGTTTTAAGGGTGAAAGTTTGTATGTGGGAGGGCTTGTGTGAAGAATTTTCTGAAGTAGTTTTTTTAGGTGATTTTGGATTCCTGGTTGTTGCTAGGAAATTAGGGGAGAGCCGATTCACCTCTCGTATAGTGAATTAATTGTATCTCGTATTTCTTTGATTGAAGATTGTTATTTCAGCTTTATTAGTGTTGTTCCTGTATATCATTGTTGTTTTCTCTTGATTTTGGTGGCTACTTTTTGCTGTTTGGTGTTGATTTCGTTCTACTGGCTATTTTGGTGCTGATTTGATCTCCAAAACATATTAAATTGGTATCAAAGCAATTTTTTGGTCTGATGGCTTGGAAAAGAATTGAGGCGTTGAAATCAAAGTTAGAGGAGGAAGCAAGGCAGCTAAGAACAGATGTGGGATCATTGAATGAGCATTTTTCAGCGATGGAAAGAAGGCATGGGAATCTAGAGGAGATGATGAAGCGGATGTTGGAGTTTCAAACTAAAGCAGCTCCGCCGAAAGGAAGGGAGAATCAGGGAAATGACATGCCAAGGGTAGACCGAGAGGCGAAAATTTTTGGAGAGGAGGGAATACTCACCTTGAGCCTCTACTAAAAAGGGGGATTAATAGGAAATATGGAAGTAGGAGGGAATGGGAAGAAGAGAACAAGCGGATTCAATTTGAAGGAAAAGAGGGGTATGAAATGAGAAGGGAGGAGTGGGAACCGTGGAGAGACCCCAATGCTCTCTTCATGGGAGGCATGGTTGGGGGAGGGGGGAATTGGGTTAGGGGAGATCCGAAGGTTAAGAAGCTAAAAATGCCAATGTTTGAAGGCGAGGATGCGCATGGGTAGATATATAGAGTAGATAGATATTTTACAGTGAATGGGTTGAAAAAAGGGGAGAGGCTTATGGCGGCGACTCTATGTCTCAAGTGGAAGGCACTGATATGGTACCGATGGAGGGAGATGAGGTACCTGATACATTCATGGTAGGAGTTCAAGGACCATTTATTAGAGCGCTGTTGAACCAAGCAGGAGGGGGGGCTATTATGAGCAGTTCTTTGCTTCGACACAGGTGGGAACAATGATAGAGTACAAGGAGATTTGAGCTTCTGTCGGGACATTTAGGGAGACTACCAGAGATAGTGTTAGAGAGAAATTTCATGAAGGGACTCAAACTAGAGTTAAGAGCCGTTGTGCGGGTGGCAAGAACTCGTGACTTGGGAGAGACTATAAAGTTAGCCCAATTGATTGAGGACAAGAACTCACTTGAGCGGAGTAGCAAATGGGGCAATTTTGGAGGTTCTTTTCGAACGCTAACCATCTTCCTTGCACCTAGGGTGCCAATTGTTTTAGGTCAAAGAGAAGCTCCAAAGGAGAAAGATTTCGGTGCTCAGCCGGGAGAGAACTTTAAACGGTTGACTGAAACGGAGCTGTAGGATAAACGAGCTAAGGGGTTATGTTTTAGTTGTGACGAGAAGTTTAGACCGAGCCATAGTTGTAAAAATTGCACCTTGCAGGTCTTTTTTGTTTGTGATGAAGAGGAGATAGACATAGTAGAGATAAAAGGATAAGTGGTAGAGGAAGAGGAGCCCTTACATTTGGAGGTCGCAGATGTTTCATTGATATCTATAGTGGGATTCACCCTAAATCACACTATGAAGATGAGAGGATAGATATGAGGAGAAGCATTAGTGATTTTTGTGGATAGTGGGACTGCCCACAATTTAATATCCAATCAGGAGGTTGACAAGCTGAGGCTAAAACTGGTAGACATGAGATATTTTGGGTTGATGATGGGCACAGGGAAAGTGGAGAAGAGTACCGGTATCTATCAGGGATTGGTAGTGGAGTTGCACGGGATTCACATTAGGGAGGATTTTCTTCCACTGGAGTTGGGAAGTACATATCTAATCTTGTGTATGAAGTGGCTACAAATTTTGGAGCAGACCAAGGTGGACTATAAGTCCTTTGTAGTGTGGAGATCCAAGTGGATGGGAGAGAAGTGGTGATTAAGGGAGACCTTAGTTTATCCAAAGCAATGGTTTCTTTGAAAGCCATGATGCGTGCCATACAGGATGAAGGATTGGGATTCTTGGTGGAGCTCAGGAGCTTGGAGGGAGAAGACGCCTGTGAGATAGAGTACATTCCAGAAGTAGTTCAGTGAAGTATTCTAACATCCCCAATAATTGCCTCCTCCATGGGAGCATGAGCACGCTATTACTCTGAAGGAAGGAGTCGCTCCCATTAGTGTCCGACTATATCGTTACTCACAGGTCAAGAATGATGAGATTGAGAGGTTGATTCGGGAGATGCTTGAAGTCGAGATCATCAAGCCCAGTGTAAGCCCTTTTTCTAGTCCCGTATTGTTGGTGAAGAAGAAGGATCGCACCGTGGCAGTTAGAGATTCTATGCAAATTATCGTTCTTTGAACAAGGAGACTATGTCGGACAAGTTTTCCATACCGGTCATTGATGAGTTGCTAGATGAGTTGCATGGTTTGGTGGTGTTCTCAAATATCGATTTGAAGTTTGGGTATCACTAGATTAGAAACATCATTCAACATGCACATACAATCATTCTACATAAACCAAATCATTTACATTCTTCATATCATTCCATATTGATTTATATAATAAGCATCATGACATATGATAGATGACCTCTCTATTATATAAAATTCAAGTCTCCCAGTTCAACATGATCAATCATTTAGATATGAGAATGACAAAACATGATCTAGCTAAAAACTTCATAAGAAGGCATTATCTTTCAAAACATGTAATTGAAAAGAAAATAAAGTCATTACTATAATAAAAGAAATATGAGTACTCACCTTGAAATGAATGCCTTGATAATTTACATTAAGCATAATCCACCGCTAACAACTTAATACCTATATGTAAAATCTATTCGTTAAAATTTAAGTTATAAAGCTCATATATATTTTAATCATACGCTCTATAATTCCTTATTGCATATACCTAGATAGCTATTGTATTTAAGTTTTATTAAATTACGATAAAATTTATTCTCATTGCATTATGATAGTTGATTTATATCATTAAATGACATCTTATTTATTAACACTAATCATTTTAATCTAATAATTCTTAAAGATAAATTTTCATCATCTCACTTATATGTATAAATATTAGTATAGTAATCTAAATTCTTTTTGGCAATTTAAGTTTTATTTTAAACATAATTATTATATATATTATTAAAATTGTTATGAATAAAACAAAACTTATCTTTCTTACTCCTCTCCAAGCCCTAACCTACACGCACATGACTCTCCCCTCGCCCCGCCCCGCCCCAGCTGGCTTGGTCACAGGTGTCTCTTTTTTTCCCCGCTCCCTTCCTTTCTCTTTCTCTCTTTCATTCTTCTTCTCAGCTAGCTTTCATTTGCTTGTTTGATTCCACTAGAGTGAGTGAATGAATTATCTCACGTGAGTCGCTGTCTTTCACTCTCACACGCGATTCTCCACTTCCGACCTCGCCAACCATTCACCCCTTTCGCGCCCGTGTTCGTTTGTTGATCTGCTTCCGTGCTCACGCAGCTATTAATTGAGGCCCGGTTGTTACAGTGTTCACTCTAACGGATTAAAGGTTGAACCCTAATGTTATTTAGGATTGTAAAAACTAATTTAAGTGTATCACCCCCCAGGGCTTTACAATTTGTTAGCATTTACTGCAATATTCTCATATTGGTCAGCTAAAACATAGACCTCTACCCGATTTTCAGCTATGTATGAAGTATTGTGGATGAACTTTGACCTACCATTGATGACCTTCAATAGATTCTGGACAATTTCCTTATACCTTCAATAAAATTAGTTGGCAGCCTCAATAAACTTTGAAAAACCATCAGCTTCTCCGTCGAACTTTGGCAGACCATCAACAAATTGTCCAACTGCTGACAGCCTCTTATGTCCCATTATTAACATCTGGCTGAGTTTTGGTGGTTCTCTTGTATAGTATCTACTGCAGCCTCCAGTATTTTTTTAGTGATAGCTGATCAATTATTTGAGCTCGAACTCGAGTTCAGCTCGAGCTCGACTCGTGACAGTGTAATGAGCTCATCGAGCCGCTCGATTTTCCAATTTCTCGGTTTCCCGCCCGGTTTTCCTTCCGGGTTTTGTTTTCACGCCCGGTTTGTGTGCTCTCATTGATGCTACAATGATCTTGTGTGGTGTTTGGTTTTTGCTAATCTTTGCACTTTTTCATATCGTGTGCAGGCTACGGTAAGATGCCAGGCTATGAGCATATATTTACAGACTTCCTTCTCGGTCTGGTTCAAAGCAAGTATAAGCGACTATTGAGCAACACCTGAAAGCGACGAAAAGGTTCCTTCAACTCCTTTTTGACAATTTGAAGATTCTAATTACTTAAAGGTTTGTTGCAAGTCTCAGCTGAATTTCTGATGTACATATTTGTTCCTTTACTGCTATTCGAGGCTTAAGATAGGAAGTCTCTGTTAGAAGAAGGAAGCTTTAATGCGACACGCTCTTCCTAAGAAAACATCAACTGTTTATAACTTTAGTTCATACTCTATGCCTGAAATCTACCTTCTCATGGATGCATGTTGATTGGTTTCATTTTTTTTTTCTTTTACCCCAAAAGCTTTACAACCCACACTCGCGAAGGTTGCCACACAGCTTGTTCTGTTTGCTGCAAAAATGAAGCTTCTGATCCAGCCCTCTTTTGTGAGAAATTATTCTGTGGATCCCAGACGGTCTAGAGGTAAATCAGAACGCGTCACGTCATCCGGTACACAGTAGTACATAACACCGATACATAATAAAAATGTGACATGGTACGTTCTGATTGGCCGTTGGATGATATCCGGTGTTATCACAAAATAATTTTTCCTCTTTTGCAATCTCTGCAGTAATCTGAGAATAATACATATATTACCTAGATAATTTTTAAAGGTAGCTTAATCAATTGGTAACTGAGTTTTTTGAAAAAAGTTTTGTTTTATAATAACTACATTATAGGGATAATAAAAAAAATGTTGCTTGGCAAATTATTCTGCGAAATGCCTGATGTTTGTTATATGATATAGTTGCTATTTGAATAGTTGAATGGGTATTATATCTCTTTAAATGGCCAATTTTGAAATTTGGATTATAAAATTGACGACTACTTAAAAGTTGTGGATAAAAAGAGAGGATATTTATGTTTCATTTGGGATGATTTTTTTACTGTTTCTTTAAAAAAAAATTTAATACAAAAATTTTAATTTTTGCACTAAAAATTTATTTTAAACAGTGAGGAAGTTGTCTTAAATCTTAATCAATAAGTTAATTAATTAACTATATATTATATTTATTTTAAAATTTATTTATAGATTTTGATCATGATCAAATTTGAGCTTAATATACTGTTGAAGCATAATATATGTAAAAGTAATGAGCAACATATAATATAGAGACGGAGAGGTAACTGTTCATTTTTATAAAAATTGTGCATTACAAATATTTCTTTCATGTTATAGTAATAGTGTTTATATAATATTTCGTTACAAGACAAAGATTAGGATGACATGAAATGTTTAATAATATCTTTGCCACTCGTTTCTAACTGCTCCAACGGGAGGCTTACTTTGAATTCCATCCAATAAACTACTGCTTCTTTGCTTACTCACTCTGGCTTTGAGCTTTGAATACAGCACTACGTTTGGAAGTATAGGCGATAGCTTACTTTCTTAGGAACTGCATGAGCAATGTCTGATCGCGTGGTTTGTTTCAATCCGAGAAAATGTGGGATCGCATGTGAATAATACTGAACTATGAGCTTTCAGGAGTGTCGACCCTCTCTAGTAAGTAGTATGTAGCGGTAAATCAAGCAAATGAGAATGCTTAAGCGATGAATGACTTTACTTTTAGAGACAAGGATATAAGATTAGAAAGAGTTGTCTTAGATGATTTGGCCATATAAAACATCAGCTTTTCAATGTACCGGTTAGTAGAGTAGATATATTAAAGTTGATTTTTATCTTATTATATTTAAATGAAAATTTGATTCTTAATAGAACATAATGGAGAAAAAGGATACATGTAATTGATCCTGTGTAGTTGAATAAAAGCTTGTTGTTTACCTCTAGAAAAAACTCTCTGTCAAAATACAATGTTATATACTAATATTAACATTTTTGAATATTGATACTAGCATAATACTAATATTATACTCGATGCAGGTTAATATGAAATAAGAGGAAGTTAGGGCATATGAATTAAGTACTTACATTAGAATTATAAATATCAAATAATAGGAATTTAGGGAGTCCTATCCCTACCACCATCAGCAAACTCAATACATGTTGAGTGGCTGAAAAAACACTAAAGAATCAGAATAAGTACAAGCAGCTGGGAATAAACATTGATGTGGAATTGGGAATATACCTTTAGGATATCACTTTTATGATGAAAATTGAAGCACAAACCCATTGTCAAAGATAAAAATTAAAGATGGCATATACGTTGATGCTTGCAATGACCTTAACATTTCTCTTCACCCTTTATTCGTTACTTTTAGGTGTTCAATGTGTGGTATCAAATTAAAATGTCAATTAAGATTTATGAATATCTAATGAGAACTTTTTTTATTCTTTTTTTGGTTTTACTTACAAAAGAAATTGCTCAATATTAACTCTCATGCTAGCATCAGAGCTATGGAGGATGCCTTTGTTGGTTTTTTGGATGAGGGTTCTAATGATCTTCATAAGCATGCTTTTGTCGACCACTTCAACATATCCCCCTTTCAGTAGAGCACTCTAAACTTCAAAATTGACTAATCTATTATGAATCTTATTGCTGAAATGCTATCAAGCACATAATTGCTTGTGAAAACAATCATATATTAATCTCTTTTCTCTTTGAAACTTTTGGCTATCATGCTAGTAAGGGCAATGTTTTGCTTTTTCATGTTTAGTTATTATGGAGCATAAAATGGACTTTTTATCGGTTCCAATGCACTAGTTTGGATTGCAATCCATGTTATATATTTTTCTAAGAAATATCCTCTAAAATATTTTTTGGATCAAAATATCCTCCAAAATTCATAATTTCATATGAAAAAGTTGCATGTTTGAACATCCATATGAATCTCTTGAACTTCGTGGGATCTCACTGCCTTTCACAACCCCTCCCTTCTTAATGGTGGATTAGATGACATATATGGCTCCATCGTTTGATGGTCTTATGGTGTTATGACGACAAATTAATATTGAAGAAAATAAGCAATTTTGCTTATTGTGCTTCGATGCAGATCTATTCAATCTATGACATCAATAGTGGTAGATGATTAGATTCCTCATCTTCCACGTCTTTTCATTCGTCATTTCATATTTCCTTCGCATTTACTTTCTCTCATTTCTCTCTTTTCTCAATCCTTGACTTCCTTTCACTCATAAATAATACCTCTTTTGTCTCTTGTGTCATTATTGATGTTATAGATCAAATAGATTTGTATCCAATCACGATTGTCAAACTTGCTCAATTTCTTTGATGTTAGCCATTGATGAACTCCATATATAGGATTAGGAACTTCTAGAATCATAGTAAATAATGAGCTTTTATATTGTATTTTTTGTCATTAATATGAGTGGGATTATAAATGGTAATAAATATCTTATGGAGTTGGAGATATTTGAAATTAAATTTGAGGTTTCATATGCATTTTGGAGTTATTTTGATCTAAAAGGTATTTCAATAAATATTTGTTCAAATTAATATTTTGTGATATTTTATTAAATAATTTATAATATTGAAAATTAAATCTTTTAAAATTTAAACCTATATAAGAAAAATGAAGACAAATTTTTTAAAATTAAAATTTATTTTATATTTTGAATAAATGAAATACATTTTTTTTTTTCAATCAATTTCGTGCGTCATTTATTTGAAAGCCGAGGGCACACACTGTACCTGCATTAGAAGAATCTGTCGCTGCGTGCCCGACTTTTCCAGCTTTATATGTCACCTTCACCTTCTTCTTCGCATTCCCCACCACAGCCACCTTGAATCCATTTACAATGACGACGACAAAAACACTAGCCGGCTCCGGCGCCGCCCGCATCAATGGTACCCATCCCCTTCTCTCCCGTCGTGTTTGCTTCTCCTTTGCCGCATATTCTAAATCGATCATCAACCATCTCCGATCATGCGGCGTCCCCATCGACGCCGGCCTGTCCGACGAAGAATTCACCGCCATCGAATCCACCCACCGCTTCCAGTTCCCGCCCGACCTCCGTTCCATCCTTCGTGAAGGCCTGCCTGTCGGACCCGGGTTCCCCAATTGGCGCTCCGCCTCGCCAAATCAGCTCCAGATACTCCTCTCCCTCCCTACATCCGGCCTACTCCATGAAATTTCCCGTCCCGGCGGCGATTTCTGGCCATCGGCGTGGGGACCTCGGCCCGAATCCCTTACCCAATCAATCGCAATGGCCCGATCCTTTCTATCCAGAGCGGCGCAATTGGTTCCAGTGTACCGCCAGTTCTACATCGCCGCGAACCCTAATGTGGCCGGTAACCCCCTTTTCTATATCCACGGCGGCGATGTACGATGCTGCGGGTTCGATCTCGCCGATTTCTATCGACGCGAGGAGATATGTTTACTGCCGGCGGCCGCGCCGGCGTGGACTGCGAAGGAGCCGAGGAGGGTTGAGGTGTGGTCAGAGCTCGCTGGAAGCGGAGGCGGCGGTGGCGGAGAGAGCAGAATGGATAAGTTGATGAAGGAGATGGGGAGGAGATTGAGGGAGGGAGGGTGGTGTGAGGAGGAGGTAAGAGAGATGCTGATGGCGGGAGGATCGAACGGTTACGATGAGAGTATGGATGGACATCGAAAGGGTGTGAAGGATCGAGAAGGAATGATGTGGCACGTGCGGGGCCTCGCACAGGTGATGCTTCGTGCAGGGTGGAGTAAGGAAGACGTCGCATACGCTTTAGGCGGGAGCGGACGGAATGCCGGGAGCTTAACTGTCGCTGGCCACGTGGACCCAACAGTCTTCTCTTCAACGTCTAATTAGAAATTAGTAATTACTAATTACAATTAATAATTAATTATCTGCTAAACTAACATTTACTTGTCTAAAAAATAAGCGGAAATTAAAATTTCCTTCACCTCTACGTTGTTATTTATTTATTTATTTAGGTGAAGAGGTGAGGGAAATCAAAGCGTCACTTGTTTTTTATTTATTTTTATTATTTTCAACAAGTGTCAATAATATAAACCGAAAGATTTTATTTATTTATCAATCATCAAATTAAATGAAGTAGAAAATTTGTAGCAGAAATAGTTGAATAAATGATGTGGCTGTCATTTTATTAATTAATTTTTACTTGTTTATTTAAAGAGTTAATAAATATGGAATTGCTCTAATTTAACTAGGTTGGACTCCTAATGATGGCTATTAACTTTAGTTTGGTTTGACTAATTCAATTCCTTGCAAATCTTAAATTAACTAATTGAAAGATTTTTTTTTTTCATTTACTCATATGCCATAAAAAAACTCCGCATGAATATCGAAGCATATCTTAATTCTAAAATTAAATTATAGATCATCAAAACTCCAATTTTAACAAACTTATAATTGAATTGATCGTCTCGAAGAGGTTTGAGATGAACCCAACGGCATCAAAATTAGTTTAATCCAAGCCCAAATATGTCCAAATCGGGGGCTGATTCAAATTAAGCACAAATCAGATAAATAAATGATATCCAAATATAGCATGCTTATAGTCGAATTGAGCGGCTCGACGAGACGAATCTAATGAGCCTAAAAATGATCAATTTTACATCATTTGGGCATATAAATGCTTAACCAACATAATATAATCGAGAGGATCAATATGGGTCGTCAAATGGAGCACTTCGAATTTGTCTCAAATCTTATTCATATTTACGGAGAATGTTACTCACAAAAATCTATAAATAAACCTCTCTTCCTACATGAAAGAGGGCTTAAAACCTTTGGCTGCATATTGGATAGAGCTCAGAGGCTTCAAGGATCTAGAGCTCCAACCTCTGTCGTCCACCAAGTGCGTTCTCTCCAACCACCATCGTCCGTCGCTTACGTTCCCTCCGACCTTTGTCACCCACCAAGTGCGTTCTCTCCAACCACCATCGTATGTCAACTACGATCTCTCCTAACTCCATCTCCTGCCGACTTTGATCGCCGACGGGCCTCCAAATATCTGCCACAGGTAGGGGTGCAACCGAGTCAAGCCGGCTCGCGAGCTGGCTCGAGTTTACCGAGCGCGACGGCTAATCGAGCTCGAACACTCGGTTGCTCGACTTGATAGCTCATCAAGTAGCTCGAACATGATAGCGGAAGTGAACTTCGCCGCGAGAGCGGGTTGCGGCAACAGGCTTTTCCACAAGAGTGGGAGCTTGAATGGGCTTCACCACGAAAGTGGGGTGCGGGTCGCGATAGTGGCTTCGCCGCGAGAGCGGGTCGTGGCAGTGGGCTTCGCCGCGAGAGCAGGAGTGTGAACGGGCTTCACCACGAAAGTGGAGCGTGGGTTGCAATAGTGGGCTTCGCCGCAAGAGAGGGTCGCGGCAGCGGGCTTCGCTGCAGAAGAGGGACGCGGGTCACGACAGCAGGCTTCGCCGTAAGAGCAGGAGCTCGACGAGCCGCTCGACTCGACTCGTTTCATGAGATGAGTTGAGCTCGAGCATTAGAACGGGAGCGGACTTCGCCACGAGAGCGGGTTACGGTAGCAGGCTTCGCTGCGAGAGCGAGAGCAAGAGTTGGATTCGCTACGAGAGCGAGAGCTAGAGTGAGATTCCCCGCGAGAGCGGGAGCGTGTTTCGCCGCGAGAGCAAGAGTGGGATTCGCCGCGAGAGCGGGAGTGGACATCGCCGCGAGAGCATATCGCGGCAGCGGGCTTCGTCGTGAGAGCGAGAGCAGGAGTGGGATTCGTCGTGAGAGCGGGAGCGGGCTTCGCCGCGAGAGCAGGAGCTCGACGAGCCGCTCGACTCGACTCGTTTCGTGAGACGAGTCGAGCTCAAGCTCATATTTCGAGCTACATCTGTGACTTTCTTAATATAAATCATATCTAATCTAATACATCTGTTTTCCTAACCGAATCATCGAAAACTGATGTTTTATGTGACTAAATCATCTCCGGCAACTCTCTAAATAGTAGAACTGTTATGCACCTATTAAGGTCAAAAAATCAAATGCTCTCTTTTTTTTTCATATTAAATGCTAGTAAACATCACTATAACTATTCCATAATTTTTATTTTTTTTTAGGGGAGGCAGTGCCCCCCTTGCCTCCCTTCCCTCCGCCAGTGTCTCCGACCATCATTGCCTGTCTACTACGATCCCTTCAACCATCATCACCCATAGACCATGATTATTATCCCTCAAATAACATTTTATTCTATGATTATTATCCCTCAAATAGCATTTTATTGATTCTCTTTTGCCCTTTTACCTTCCGTCATTCCACTAACTCTTAGAGTCTTGCCTGTTCAACGCTTGTCATCTAATGAACTCTGGCTCGTCATGCCACAAATACTTAATTTTCTTGCGCCTAAAACATTCCAACTATTATTATTTTCTTCTTTCCTCTTCTTCTGTTAGTAACAAAGGAAAAGGGGCGATCAACACCTCACCTAACAGTTGGGACTTTCTGCAGCAACAGTTTAGTTACATGCCAACAACCAATTAACATTATATTATTCATCTCGGAGTCTTCAGACTGGTCATCAAAGAGAATTTCCTTGTCATATATTAAAATATTCACGCTCAGTAACAGATCAAAATCAGACCGAGCTGGTCAATTTTTCTTTCTTTTTTTTCTTATTTGATTCATTTTTTTCAACCTTTAAGTTTTATTTGTCCGCACCTATTCAAACTTAAATCTTTGAAAGTATGTATATCGAAACCTAAAACATTGAAAATATTTGGGAAAACAGGACTAATAAACCACGACTTCTGACTTCTTTTTTCAATAAATTTCAAAGTTTAGTAACCTTTCAGATGTCCGACCATGTTGTGCAGCAATCATCTCTACATTACACACATCGCCTAACCAAAATTTGATCAGCCATTTTAATCTCTCATCAAATACTTAACAATAATCATCAACCACAACATGATCGATTTAATTAAAATATCATATATCAAACATTGCATCATTACCTTCTCCAATAATTTTTTCTTAATAAATAATAATTTGTTTAGGTAAAACGAATAATAATAATAATATTGAGTAGGTAATAAAAAAGCAAAGACCTAGAGGTAATTAGCATTAATCATATATATATGACTTTAAAGCATGCATGAACACTAATAGTGGGAGGGATTAGGTCAGCTAGAAAATACTTTTCTCTACATCTAAATGATAATGTAAATATGGCTAAGTATGAACTTCAAAGATTTGTATAAACTGTTTTAACATCAAGTGCTGGCTAATAATATTAACAGTTCCTATGAAAGATGATTGCACATAGTACTTTGAGCAGTTATAGCTAGTGATTAGAGTATCTCCAATGGAACGACAAACAACTATTTTTTGTTCTCCCGTCACTCCAACCGAGCGGCAATTCTTACGTCATTTCATCGCGGATGAACAGTGCCGACACCAATATTGACGTTCCACTGTCATCTTCATCATTTTTTTTTGTCTTAATCGAACTTGCTGAAGAAACGAATGAAAGAAGAGAACAATCGTTACGAGGCAAAATGTAGTTCGAATGGAAATGAATCATGGCATTTTTTAGTTTCACGATATTTTGGAGTGAAAAATGAGATTTTAGGTTGGAGATGCCCTTAGTAGCTTAGAGTATGACCGCATGGCTTTCTCACCATGAAATAGTAAGGAGTTAGGTTTACTTCGTTGGATGTCAACTAATCAGGAATTTTAGTTGACATCGAACGAAGTAAACCTCAAATGAATTTTCATAATTTTCTTTCAATAATACATAACAAAAACTGTGTATTTTTACTTTTAGTCGTAGTTAATGAACATAAATTTACTGACTGATTAATTAGATATGATATGTCACCAAAACTCGCTTGATCAAACATGAATCTCAAAGTATGTGTGAATTGAAAACTTCTGAAAATTAAATTTGGGACCATCCAAATTTTGATTTCAGTAAACTTAGGCTTCGCTTGGTTGCTCTGTTCCTTTTGTAGAAGTTGGTTTAAAAGCAGTTGTTGAGAAAATGAGTAAATGACGTTTTAAAAAAATGTTGTTTAAATAAATTGTTGGTTGTTCGGTTAAATTATTTTTTACATGCTTATGCAAATCTAAAAATAAATTTAAATTATCAAACTTTAGTGGTCCTTATATTAAAATTAAATAGATTGTTTATTTTTTATAATGACTAAAGACAAATTAATGAGAGACAACATCTCGTGATGGAAGTTGATGAACAGCTCCATTGAAGCCTCGTTGGCGGTGTAGATGCGTTCGAAGAGCTTAGAAGGAGTTGTGGTGACTGAAATTATTTGGAACGCGTCCCACTCGAAGGCTTTCATGACGATTGCAGAGGCAGAATCAGCCTTAACTTTCAGGGGAACTCATAAGTAAAAGTGTAGAGATTTTTTTTTTCATAAATATCTTTACAATCAAAATTTGTTCCGGGGTGTTGCCACTTGTCTCATATTTGTTCATATCCTTGATCGTTATACGCTTCGCAGATATGTAGGGGGTCCAAGGGGGCAGCGCCCTCTTGCAGGGTTCAACCTGCCCGATCTGGTCATGGGGTTAAGGGGTAGCGCTCCTGCGGGATCCATTTTTTTATGCTTTTGATTTTTAAAGAAAAAAAAAAAAGACTCACACTACAACCTAAAGCTCTAATGTCAAATTGATACAACCTAAAAAAATATAAACTTTGCTCTAGGAATGCAAATAAGAACACTCCCTTTTTCATTCACATGAACCCTAAATACACAAACAAACACAACAATAAAGCAAAACTAATGCCACTTGCAACTTATAATAGAACAAGACACAACACAACTTAAAATTTACATTAGTTTTAGAGAAGAAAAATATATGTGGAATTTAAACCATAGAGAGAAGAATAGATTGAAGTGTGAAATGAAATAAAAGAAGGATAGGGAGAAGAAGTTAGCTCTCAATCTAAAAAAAATCCTGCAATTTTTGAATGATCACATTCCAAAAATTCTTCAAAGTCTCTTTTACACAAAGGAAACCAGTCACTATTTATAGAAGAAAGAAGGGGAACTTGCATTAAATAGACCGCATAAATGTGCCACAATAGAAACCTTTGTAGACAACCCTCATAATAAGAAATTAAAGCACTAAGCATAGAAAATCATAAGGGGGAAAAATGAACAACCAGCAGTTAAGAAACTAAACAGCCATAGAGAAAACCATGCAGCCAATGACAGGAAACTAAACAGCTATAAGGAAAACTGAGATCCAATGGTAGATAAAGTAAATTTTCAGCAAGGAACCCAAGGGAACAACAGGGAAAACGAAGGGTCAACAAAAAAAATAATGAAAAGTTATTGGAGAAAGAAAGCTAGAAACACAAGTAGAAAATAAAGAAAACTTAAAATTACAACTCTTCACTGCATCAATTTTGAACTGAAAAATGATGTACTTAAGCTGAACCAAATAAGGTCTTATAGTGAAATTGAACGTCTTAAGGAGACAAACCTTAAAGAAACTAAAATCAGTTGAATTTGAACCCAAATCAAGGGACCAAATCATATTTAGAAGCTTCAAAATATTAATTGGATAATTAAATGATCTCCAAATGTAACATGATTATAGTCAAATCAAGCGGCTCAACGAGGCAAAAACCAACGAGCCCAAGATCACTTAATTCTGACATCCCTAAGGCACTTAATCCTTGGCAAACATTTCATGAGGAATCATTATGGCCCGTCCGATGGAGCACTCTGAATTTACCCTCTATCTTCTTCATATTTATAGGGCACGCTACTATCAAAATCTATAAATTTACGCTTTCTTCCAACATGAGAGGAGACTTAGAATCTGGAAGGCTTATACCCTAGGCTAAAGACTTAAAAGAGCTCTGAGGCTTGAAGCATCTCAGAGCTCCACCTTAGCTCCACCACCGACAAACCCTCACACCATGTCATAACTGCTAGGCCTCTGCCTAACCATCAGAACTTCGTCCGATAGCCATCACCGAGCTTTCGTCCAATCTTAACGCCCACTGACTACAATCCCTTAGACCACTGTCGCCCACCTACAATGGTCCTTCCGGACTCTATCTCTGGCTAACTATATTTCCTTCTCATTTCTGCAGTAATAAAAGTATTACAGAGAAAGCTGCAATTTTTCTGCAGTAATAAATGCTCTAATATTTAATATTAAATGCCAGATTATTTAATATTAAGTGCCAGCTTATTTAATAGGTTTGCCCTCTGAAAGCCACCTTATTTAATATTAAATGCTGTAATATTTAACATTAGATGCATGTGTGTATATAACTATATATATATATATATATTACATTTAGATATTCTTTAATATTCAAATTTAATAAATAAAAAAAATAATATTCAAGCTGACTTGCAAGCTCACGAGCCGAGTTGGGCTCAAGCTCGAACTCGAGCTCGTTTACTAAATGAGCTATTGAGTTTGAGCTTGAGCTCGACTCGTGAGCTTGATAAGCTTGACTCGCGAGCCTATAAATAAGTCGAGCTCGAACCGGATCGCGAGCCGGCTTGGCTCACTTACACCCCTACCGTCGCACGCCGACTATGGTCACTCTAACCACCTATGAGTTAAATCAAGCTTGTAATAGATCGAGCTCTTGAGATGAGTGAACTCGTATGAGTTACACAAAAAAAGGATAAAATCATGAGATATTTGTTCTATTAATTTAAGCAAGCCAAGTAAGTACAAGCCAAATTTGATCATAAAATATCTAAACAATAGAAATATGAATATTTATGTAAAAACTCTACTCGAATTTGAGTCGAGCATTAAAATTTTTAATTTAACCAAGCCAAGTCGAAGCTATATTGTGCTAAACTCAATTAGATTTCTAACCATATATTTTTCATTAAATTATTTGGTTTGTGCTCATAACACTATTTTTTCTTTTTTCTTTTTTAAATATATCCAATACATGATTCTTTCTTTTTGGTCACTAACCACTCTATTTTTTAAGTACAATTGTTGAATTCAAAAATGCTCATTAATCACACTTAATTATACTAAGAATATTAAGTGAAGAGGAAAATGAAAAAGTTGAGAGAGGAGGAAGAATTTTAGAAAAAAGAAACTCTAAGATTTGAACAAAATGCTTGATGACAAAAAATATGTAAATAGAAGAAGGAAAAAAATAATTTTCTTAAGTGCATTTTAATATAGTGTTTTTTTTTTTTTTTTCCTATTAGTGCCCTCTTATATAAGATGCATATTGTTGATCCTCTTACTCGCTAAGAGCTTCCTGATAAAAGAATAAAACTAACCAAGCAATCAATCTGTCAATGGCCAATGTTGCTCAACTGCCAATACAGATTGAGAAAATTGAAGTATTTTAGCCATTTGATATAATAATTGAGCCCATCATACTATTGAAATAGTAGCAGTTGATTTTGTTGGGCTACTTGTTGAACAATGAATAGTTGAAGAGAGGGTAACTGAAAGAACTATTTAGATATTGTTAAGAAGTATTCTTTAAACTTTTTGAATGAAATCATTCCTCTTTCAGCCTCCCCTTTAGCTGAGTTGGCTACAAAGAAGAACCTAAACACTATATTTAATTTGGTTAGTCTAGTGTCATATACATCAAAGAAATTTGCTGGGTTAATTATTGATAAGGAGAAGATGACAACTTCAAATCTTAGATAGTGTTCCCAATATATTCATAGTGCAACATCAGTTACCTGTTGAAGTTAGCCAATTGATGTTGTCCATAACATCTATGAAGGATGAATATGAATTGAAAAAATCCGACTCCAATAAATAAATTTTTTGAGTTCAAGGCATCATTCATCAGCTCTAATTTCCTTCACACTGGTCCTTAAGAAATTGTCAAATTCCCCTCCCAAATTATTTCTTTCATCTATACTGGTCGTAATAGAGGCCCTAGTCTCCATGTTGTATTCTTCAACATTTATATGACTGTTAGCGAGTTCAAGTAACTCAGTCAAAGTATTCAGCTGATGTAGACTTAGTGCATAGGTCTCTCTTATAGGCCTTGGATGAGAGTCACTAGAGCTACAACCAACTCTAAATCCTTCGCATTAAGCATCTCCTTCTAAACTTAAGTGATAAAACTCATCAAGAATTCGCTAGGTTCTTGCCACATTCATACTATGGTGGCAAATTATACTATAAACATTTTTTTGAAGTATGTGAAGGAAGTAATGACACTGAATGACAAATATAGGAACCACCTACACTTTAGTGCATCACTAATATCCAGAAGAGAAACAATCAATTCAAAATAAACAATGTGGCTAGCGGGATCCATCTTTCTTTTGTACAAGTGTAGATGAGAGATCTTAAATTTTACTGGAAGCTTAATTGACCTTAGCAATCTTCCTCGAGAAGGCACTGATAAGTGATAACATTCACTTTTCAATTCACTTTTCAATTCTCCCTACTTCATGATAAAAAGTTGAAGTCAACCCCGCAGTGTCAAGGTAATATATTTCATCAGCAGTGGGAGTAGGGGTTAAGGTTCTAGCTCCAAAAAGTCTTCTCCTTACAAAATAATAGGAGGACCCCTAAGGAAATTCCACTATAGGATTCTCTCAAGTGCTCCTTAGAGGTGAATGTGCATGATTTATAGATGTGGAGCTTGCCCATAGGAAGAACAAGTGATGCAATAGAATCATTATTCTAAAAACTAGACCACCCTTATTTGGTATGGGAAGTTAATGAGAGGATGAAAGAGAATTATTTCTATTATTATGTAAAAATTTGAATGGGGTTTGCGTAAATAGAAAGATTTAGATATTAATGTTATGTTTGTAAGTAATTTTTTTTTTTAAATATGAGCATAAACCCTTAATTAAAAAAAAAAAAGATTATGATGTTCTGAGGCTGTAAGCTCAGATATGAGCTCTAAAGAATATTGTTTGTTTTGAGTTTGATTGGAATACTCTAGGATGTAAAGTATTCTAAATGCGGGGGGTTTTACAATTTTTGGTATTTGGTTGGAATAGAAAATAAGGCAAAGTGAAATATAATAAATGCAATGTAAAGTGAAATAGTTAATTTTGAGTGTAAAATAAATTTCTTCCATTATGGATCATTGTACGCCATAAACTTGCTTGACCTCCACCAACTGCCGGCCACTGCCTCTGCCGCCTGCCTCCGACCACCACTGTCACCGTTGACCTCCACCTGCCGTCGTCTACCACCGTCGATTATCATCATTTAAGACTTTATTTTACATTCATTATTTCTAATCAAATAATAAAAAAAAAAATCCATTCACCTACTTTGATCCAAACAAATCGGAAGCATTCTTTTTACACCACTTTTTTTTTTTACACCGCATCCTTTTTCAGCCAAAATAATCCAACAAACAGCCCAAAAAATAAAGAATTACAGGTCAGCAACACAGCTTAACGAGCAATTTTGTGGAACAATTACCAAATGAACAAATATTCCAAAACCCTAACACGCTAAAGCTTGAAGCGTACCCACCACCATCCTTGAAGCAGACAGGTAGCCCACTACATCAAGCAATGGGGAAACTATCCAATCTAAATATATTTTGAAGCTTTCATGAATGGAAGGTATTTGTCTGTCTTCACTCTCATTCTCCCATAATCCTGTCAAATTTCCTCTTTTGAATTACAAACTGCGATTTTGAAATTCCCACATGAAGAGGTTGTGCTCGGTTCTCTGTCTCAGGCGGCGGCTGAGAAAATCCAAGCAAACAACCCACATCAGCTCTGAGCCCAAGGTAATAGGCATTATTGTTGACCCATTCATGCATTTTTTTCTGCCAATTTTGTGTTTTTCGTTGATTTTTCTATCTTTTTCTCATGTAGTCAACTAGCGAATCGATGCCCGAGCCTCAGAGTAGCAGCGGCTATGCAGAGGGCTGTGAGGTACGATGGTTTTGTTCAGATTTCGCAGCTTTTATTCCCTTTTTCGAGTTCGGATATGCATAATTCTTTTGGCTTTGGACAAGGTGCATTAATATCACTGATCGTAGATGCTTCTATTCAAATAACAATGAATGTTGTTTGATGTAAACTTCTGTGATCTCTGTACCTGTAGAAAATCTTATTGCAGGAAAACAAATGCTAGAAAATGAGGGAAATGGTGTAATTTTCTATTGCAAATGATAAACAATACAATGCATTTATATAGAAATAAGATAGCTGAATTGAAGTGAATCATTCGCTGCTAGAGTAGGTGTTCTGCTTACGTTAACAAGTCCCCGCAATCTAATGGTGATGGAGATACCGTTAGCTTGGCATGAAGATTGGTAAAACGAAGTTTAGGAATAACTTTGGTGAAGATATCAACAATTTGATCCTGGGTGTTGATACGATGCACAGTAATTGCATTAAATTTGATGCAATCTCAAATGAAATGATAGTCCACCTCAATGTGTTTAGTCCTAGTGTGAAAAATCTGATTGTGAGTAAGTGCAATCGTTGAGACATTGCCATAATATAACAATGTTGGGTTTGAAAGTGAGAACTGAAAATCAGTTAATAGACGATGAATCCAAATGATTTCGGTAGTTGCTATAGCCAATGCTCGGTATTCAGCTTTGGTGGATGAGCTAGCAACCTTAGGTTGCTTTTGACACACCAGGAAACAATTGTATCACCCAGAAGGCCAGAAATAAATAATAACCAGTTGTGGATTTCCTGTCAAGTGGATCTCTAGCCCAATAAGAGTCAGCATAAGCACGCAATATAGAGGAGGTAGAACTGATGGGTAGACCGAAATCTAGTATTCCTTGAAGATATTGAAGTAAATGTTTAAGGGTTGAAAATGATGCCAAAGGGGAGTATGCATGAACTGACATAATTTTGTTAACGACAAATGATAAGTTGGGTCTGGTTATGGTTAAGTATTGTAAAGAACCAACCAAATGTAGATACGATTCCCGGTGGTCAAACAACAAACATAGAAGCTTCATCTATTGCAGGTTTAAGAGAAAAGTTAGTGACAACTGGCTTACAGTTATCAAGGCCATCCCGATGGATGATATTCGAAGCATACTTGGATTGGTTTAAGTGATATCTAGTGGGCATAAGGGTAGCTTGAATGCTGAGAAATTGAGATAAGCTGCCCAAGTTGCACAATTGAAAGAGCTATTGAAAGTTGTTGAGCAGAGCTTGAAGAATTGAAACATAATTTTCTGCCAATAGAATATCAACTACATATACTAGTAGATAGATAATATGGGAATTGTGATTGTAAATGAGTAAGGAAGGATCGACATCACTATATCGAAAGCCAAGAGTTTACAAATGAGAAGTGAGTTTAACAAACCACTGGCGGGGAGACTGTTTGAGACCATAAATGGCCTATGCAAACAACATACAAAATTTGGATGTTGGCGATCCTTAAAATCGGGCAATTGTTGCATATAAACAGTTTCCTTCAAATCACCATGTAAAAATACGTTTGAAACATCAAGTTGAGTGATAAACAATTTTCTGTGAACTGTTGTAGTAATGAAGAGGCGAATGGTAAGGAGTTTAGCAACCATATTGAATGTTTCGGAATAATCAATACCATACTCCTGATGGTACCCTTGAGCGATAAGGTGTGCTTTGTACTGTGCAATAGAACCATATGAATGAAATTTGGTCTTGTAAATCTATTTACAACCTAAAATAGTTTGATCAGATGATGGAGCAACCAAATCCCAGGTACCTTGGGCTTGAAGTGCTTGGAATTTTGCAGACAATGCATCCCGTCAGCATTGATATTTGATTGCAACAAAATAACATGTAGTATAACTAATCTGAGTAATATTATGCTGTAGATTAAAAACCTGCTTTCCTGTTTGAAGACAAGTCATCATTAGGATGATGTCTTGTTGGGGTAGTAGATTGCTGTGATGAAGTTGCGATAGATAGAGTGTTGAGTGAGAAGTGGAGGAAGTAGGCGAGGATTGAGATTGATAGATATAGTCAGAGGAATATTCCGGTTGAGCTGGTGATGGTTTTGAAGGATATGACTGCTAGAACTCGGTGCAGGGATAAGGAACGAGAGTTAATGGAGAGTGCATATTGGTTTGGGAAGAAATTTGTGAAGCAGAGGAAGTGGAAGAGGAAGTAAGAATGGGATGATGTTTTCATGAAACTGGACATGACGAGATATGAATTTGTTTTTTTTTTTTATGTGGGTGATAACAACGGTACCCCTTATGATTTGAACTGTATCTAATGATACACAAGAGGTAGACTTGGGAGCAAATTTATGTGGAGCTGACGGTTGAAGCCATGGATAGCACAAACATCCAAATACCTTTAAATGGGAGTAAGATGGAGGATGTTGATATAGTAGGTGATAGGGGAATATGAATCGTGTAGTGGAAGACATAAGTCGATTGATGAGATATGTGGCTGTAAGGATAACTTCAACCCAAAATGTATTAGGTAAGTGAGATTGAATAAGAAGGGTTCGAGCTGTCTTAATAATGCGACGATGTTTACGTTTTGCAAGACAATTTTGTTGGGGCATATGAGGACAACTGAATTGGTGGATTATTCCAGCTTTAGATAGAAAGTTGTGGAATTGTGACCTGGACTATTCGCCATCCCCATCAGAATGAAATATCTTAATGGATATAGAGAATTATTTTTCAACCATAGCTTTCAATAAGGCAAATTTGGAGAATGTTTCAGATTTTGTGACCATTGAATAATTCCAGGAGAAACGAGAAAATTTATCCACAAATAACACATAATATTTGTATCTGTTAAAAGATAAAATGGGGGAGTACCCCATACATTATACACGACAATCTCAGAAGGAGTACATTTGGTAGTAGTAGAGAAGGGTAGTCTATGACTTTTAGCAAGTTGACACGAATGACAAACATAATTATAAATATAAATGCTAAGTGACGGAACTAGAATAGCTATGGTAGACTAAACAACTTTATGCGGATGTCCCAGACGAGAATGCCATAGTTGTGAAGTGTCGGATGTGGAGATGAATGCTGTTGAAGTTGAATTGGATGGAGGGAAAGTGGAGGATGGCATGGCGACAGGATAAGAGACCATTACGGCATAGTCTTGAAAGAATCCAACGGTTTGTCCTCCGATCCTTGATATTATAGCCATGCGGTGTAATGGAAATAGTGCAACCATTTTTAGTGGTTAGGCGATGAACATAAAGAAGATTGTGAGAAACATTAGGAACATGAAGTAGAGGAGAAAGAGCAAGCTTTCAATGGGGAGTAGGCATGATGCTGTGGCCGGTGGTGGAAATTGGAAGGGATTGACCATTGCCCACTTGAATTTGCTGTGATCCATGATAAGTTTGTGGAGATAGCAAGTGAGTGGCATCATTTGTCAAATGAGGCGTTGCTCCAGAATCCAAAATCCAATCAGTAGACTATGATGTAGTGTCTGTAGATTCTACAATAAATGCAGGGGAAGGATTGCTATTCTAGTTCAGATTAGTGCAATGCCAGCACTTTATCGCCGAGTGACCTAGTTTGCCGCATATCTGGCATTCAATGCAAGCAGAAGAGGAACGCCCACCTCAGGAAAAGAATGGCTGGCGACTCCGAGTGTTGCGAAAGGGTAGACAAGCAGCAGCTCTACCCAAAGTCACTGTAAGAGCAATGGGAGATTCAAATTTATACTGCTTATAGATCATGAGCTGCTTCGCTTTCTAGATTCGTCTCTTCACTGTAGTGTAATGAGTAAAAATCATCGATATTTAGGGGTTGGAGATTTGTGCGGATGGCGGTTTTAAAGGATTGATAGGAAGCAAGCAATCCATTAAGTGTATATAGAATGACGTCTTTAGGATCGAGAGCACAACCGATCGTAGTCATAGAGTTGACTTTCAACTTGATTTCGGAGAGATAGTGTTGCATTGTTTTGCTGTTCATGGAGATGTGGGGTAATTCGTTCTTAAGTTCTATAATGTGAGAATGATTAGTGGATTGAAGTCGTTTATCAATTATTTGCTAGATCTCTGCACACGACTCTAGATTCAAGATATAGGGTAACAATGTCATGGATGTAGTTGAGAACAAAGCAGCTGCAATATTCTGATCGATTAGCATCCATGTAGAAAATAAAGGATTGGAGATGACTTCACCGGTGTCATTAGTTATCTGTCGGGGAGGACATCAAACAGAACTGTCAAGGTATACATCGAAACCGTTTGCTCAAAACATCTTCAACACTTGAGATCTCCATGTAAGATGATTTTTTGGAGTCAATTGAATAGTGATGACATTCTTAATGGTGGACATTAAGAACTTTAGTTGAGGAGGAATCAGAGCAATACAAACCAACTGTGAAGCTTTTGTGTAGCTTCCTGCAGTAGAAGAGTTTCAAGACTCCATTCTGGGATGCACAGTCAAACGGAAGGGAGTAAAGAGCCATGTGGCTTAATGGCGCTCTGATACCATGTAAACTTCTGTGATCCCTTTACCTGTAGAAAAGCTTATTGCTAGAAAACAAAAGCTAGAAGATGTTTCTAATGCAAATGATAAACAATTCAACGTATTTATATAGAAGTAAGAGAGATGAATCATTCACTGCCAGAGTTTGTTTTTACCGCAGGTAAGTGACTGCGCTTGCAGAGGTAGTGGCGCTAGAGCAGGTGTTCTACTTATTGCTGGAGCACGTTAACATTTGATTGATCAAATTTTATGGGTTTGTGTTTGTCAAAAACCAATATGCTTTGCAATAGAATGGCAAAGTGCTATGAAGGTATACTATTTCATGCGATCTTAAGACACATGGAAATGAAATTATGATATTTTCATCATTTAATCCAATTTGTTATGGGGCTGTTTGGTTGCAAGATTTAGTAAGGATTTAGGCTAAGTCTTGCTAAACAATTTTTTGAGTCGTATAACTCCTATTATCATCTTAAATCATATTTTCCTCCCATGTAGACTAAACCTCATATTTTGTAAATGCCTAAAAAAAGTAAAACTTAAGATATTAACAAACTTCTACCTCTTCTTTTACTTCATTTAAATCTTAAATCTTGCTTACTAGGATTTACCAAATTTAACATTTATCATAATAACAAATAGCTCTCATAAATGAATGCTTCCAAGATTTACTAAATTTGGATTTACAACATTTACTAAATCCTACTTTGAACCAAATTGAAGGGAGAAAAGAAGGTTTTTTTTTTTTTTTGAGATTTTAGCATTGCCAGTGGCCTTTTTAGTTTGCATCTAAACTTCTTTTGAAATGATATATTTTTGCTGTATATGTTCGAAAATGTCCATATTATTCATTCTTGATCGGATAACCAAATGTATTTTGAGTGATTTAGGCAGTTACTCTGTGGAATTTGAATGCTTTGTGCTATTATTTTCTGGCAGAGACGAGATGTAGTAGTTGATTCAAATGTTAGCCATACAACCAACATCATCTCCAATCACGACTTTTCTGAAGGGCTCCATTCTTGGCATGCCAATTGTTGTCATGCTTATGTGGCTTCTAAAGAATTTAGTCTCCCCAATGGCCCCAATGGAGTTGTTGCGTACTCAGGAGAGAGTCACATTGTCATCACAAATCGTACAGAGTGCTGGCAAGGTTTGGAGCAGGACATCACTGGGAAACTTTCCATTGATACTAAATATGATGTGTCAGTTTTTGTTGGTGTGCATGGGAATCTACAGGGGTCCTGTGGAGTGCAAGCAACACTTAGATTAGAGAATTCAGATTCTGGTACTAGCTATTTATGTGCTGGAAGGTATAATTTGGAGATTGTTGCTTTGAAATAGTTGATTGGCTTGGAAATTCTGATGTCAATGAATGCTTGTAATAGAAAATCAGTCACCAAAGAAAGCTGGGAGAAGCTGGAAGGATCTTTTACATTGACAAGCTTGCCAAGTCGTGCCATCTTTTATTTGGAAGGACCTCCTCCTGGAGTAGACATACTGATAAACTCTGTAATTATTTTGCCCACCAGCTCTGAGTATTATGGGGTATGTGCTTTTCACAGTTTTTTTCTATGTGTTCACTTTCAAGCTCATTGTTTTTTCTCATCTGCCCACTTTCAAGCCAATCCCTTACCTGTCTGTCACATTGAAATGGTGTCTCTGACTGAAATACTTATTTCTGTAAATTTTTCTGTGATTTTTGGGATGCCCAATTGGTTATTTGTTGTTAGAAATAACTGGATATTTAATGCAAAATATGTTCCTGAAGAAATTCTGGAAATGAACTTTGTGTTAGATATGAATAGTTTTTATCCCAAGAAGTTGGGGGTGATTACATCGATCAGTCTGGATATGTGATGCAAAATTTGGTCCTAAAGAAATCCTGAAAATGAACTTTGTTTTAGATATGAAAAGTTTTTGTCCCAACTTCCAAGAAGCTAAGGATGATTATATTGATTGGTCTGATGAGAATTTTAGGCTTTGGACCTTTTTATTAGTTTAGAAAACTGCAGCAATTTTATTAAAACCAGGTCTGAACTTTCTATGAATTGAATCCCTGATGCCCGTAATGTACTAATCATTATGTTGACTCGCTAAATTTGGGTTGAGCCCAAGCTTTTATGAAGTTAAACTATTATGCATTTCTCTAAAAGAAAATTTCTTTAATACATCGTGATATGTACTACTCACTCATTTTAGTTTACTTTGAATGTGTTTAAATTATTTTGATAATATACAGCTTTCATGGTGAATAATATAAATCTTTATCTCCATCATCATTAGCCTTATATTCTTATCCCAACTACATGTGGCTGGCTGGCCATATGAATACTTCTTCTCCAAGTATTTCTATTGAGTGCTTCATGTGGTTTTAATTTTAATTTATGCAAGTCTTTGCTCATATCTAATAGTCTATAATTTTTTCTGCCCATGCTTTTCAAATTGAGAAAATGACCAAAACAATCCCTTGATTTTTTATGAATGATCAAAGTAGTCCTCAACTATATTAAATGATCATTTTGGTCCCTCAACTCCTTAAAGAGGAACCAAAATAGTTCCACCATAGGACTATTTTGATTCCTTTCTCAAGACTTGAGGTATCAAAATAATTCTTTGCTATAGTTGAGGACTATTGGAGTTCTTCATAAAAATTAAGGGATCATTTTGATCATTTTCTCTCTTTAGATTGTTTCTATTTACACTTCTTAAAGATGCATTTTCTATTGTTTGTTGGGCTTGCTTAAATTAACCTAGCCAATTTTCTACAACCTTGTTCTTAGTAAGTGCTAGTGCCCAACCGCTCATTAAAGTATGGAATAAATGAGGAACGAATTATGAGCCTTAATGTTGCAAAAATTAAACAATTTTCTAAATACCTACCATACTACTATCACCTAAAGTATTCCCATCTATCCAACAAGGAAGTGCTCACACAGTCACCCACCTAAAAAAAAAAAGGAAAATTCATTTAAGCTTTTTTACTCATGGAAAGCTTGCATTTATATTGCAATTTTATCTCATCTATTTGTTCTTTTTCTTCAAGCAATTTTAATGATTTTTTCCTAGGAAAACCTCTCTACCATAAACTTTAGCATCTTAGATGAATTCCCATTATATTAGGCTGGCTTTAAGAAGCCGTGGGCTCCAAAAATTCGCACCCCGGCCCCTCTGCGTACCCCCCTTTTTCATTTTTTGAGTTGGGTTTTCGAGGAGAGTTTTAACAAGTAGGTTCCAGGGTAAATTTTAAAAAGGCAGATTGAACTATGAATAAGACACTACCCAGAGATGTCGCCCTCTTTTTTCAAGGAATTTATGATATGAGTTCAGGTTTCCTATAGGCGGAAGCTCCTATAGTTAATTACCACTCCGGATAATGAGAGAGAACTTTCGATTAAGGCTAGTTGTCAAATGAAGACATAGCATCCGACGTATAGTAGTAGCATGATTTGATATTTGAGAATTTGATATTTAAAATTAGAAATTTCACCATCTTGTACTTAAAGCGGATGGTGGGGGTGGGGGTGGGGGGGATGATGATGAGCATGATCAAGATTCCATGGTTCCGTCATCCCGGGCCATCGTGGTCCCTACTCTACTTTGTCTACTTAGTCAAAGGAGATAGTCGGCCTAATATGATAGGATGATCCTTGTCGACAACCATGAGTTGTTTTGTCCAAGGATAACATGTAGACTTGGGGTGAATATTTGTTTAAGATAAAATTGAATCCACCTTAGCTAACAAAGGAATTTGTGCCCTATCGATCATATCTTATTGATTCATTGCCTAATGATTTTGTGTCATTGGGGAACATACGGGCTATTATCATTACCCTAATATAATTGTGCCATTTGGCAGCAAAACCACCTGGTCATAACCGTTTACGTGCGGTGCCATTTAGCAGAGAAACCTTTGATGTGGTGCCATTTGGAGGCGAAACCACCAGTTAGAGGACACGTGCAATCAATAGTTTTTAATTTGTCCATCTCTGCAAATTGTTGTGGAAGATGAATGGATTTTACTTTAAGTGCTTGATGATTAATTTTAATTTTAAATATCTTAGGTTATGATATTATTGAGATTTTGAATTTTTATATGCTTTTTGGAGGCATTTTAAATATTTATGATCCCCTCCTGTTGAGATAAACATTTAACATTACCATATCAGGGTAATGTTGTAGTAACTTTAAAAGATTTGTATTTTGTTGAAGCTTGAAAGCATCAGAATGTATATGATCCTATCCGATTGAGATAAACATTCAACAAGGCAATTATCAGAGTAATGTTGTAGTCACTTTAAAAGATTTGTATTTTGTTGAAGCTTGAAAGCATCAGAAAATATAGGATCCCCTTTGGTTGAGATAAACATTCAACACGACATCATTGGGGTTTATATGGGTTGTTATATATTTTTTGATTGAATCTTGTTGACTCTATCAATTTACTAGCATAGGACTGGCTTCATATATGAATTTATTTCTTAACTTACAAAGCATCTTTAGATGTTACGTGTGTACCTATGACACGCTCGTCAAGGCCCTTATGGGTATATACTATTGAATGCATTTTGCGCGTTGGATTTATATGATTGTTATATGTATGCATGATATTACTGGAATGAAGCTCTCAGCATATTGCAAATACATACAAGAGGATACTTGTGAGTGTAATTGCAATGTCAAATATCATGTTTGAATGAAATCCTCTGCATCCTGCCAATGCATGTAAGAGGTCATTTTAAATTATGATTGTATTGTCAAACGACATGCTTGAATGAAACCTTCTACATCCTAATGATACATACAGGAGGTCATTTTAAGATGCAATTGTAATGTCAGATGACATACTTAAATGAAAGCCTTGCATCTTACAAATGCACGCAGGAGGCCATTTTGAACTGTGATTGCAATGTCAACTAACATGTTAGAATGAAACCCCTCTGCACATAGCCAATGCATGCATATTATGGAATGCACATCAATGCGTATTTTAATGAATGTGAGAGGGTGTTTTGCATTTTTAAATGTAGCTGGCTGCTAAGGTGACTATTGTTTCCAAATACGTTGAGTTTTATATTGGGCTTTGTTGACACATTCTGTCTGTTTGTATGAATGTTGCGGATCCGGTGGCCTAGCGTATTAGCATAGCGCGCAATACATTTGCGTAATATGCATGTACGGGAGGTATTTTAAAGTATTTGACACTAATCAATTGTGCGGACAATTATCGTTTGAATATGCACAATGTTCTATATAGAAGCTTATAGACGCCTTTTATCTGCTTATACGAGTGTTGCAAATCTAGTGGCCCACGATTTCTTTTACTACTGATTCTTTGCTTTTGCTTATAGGTGAATCATAGCATTGCATTCAGAATAGCCATGAGATGCTTCATTATTCTGATGAAAGCTCCATCTTCTCATCCTTTGAGAGATCAGACCCAGGAATAATCCAATCTTTTGCTTAGACCATACAAGGACATCCAAGTTACATGAGGTCATTTTGTAATAGATGAGGTATCATAATCTGATGAAACCAAACGCTCATGTGATGCACTGTTGGCTCTCCCCGTCTTCAATTTGCCACAAGGTATTCCCCTTGAAGCATGTATAGGACAAGGTGCAATATATTTTTCAGTATTTCAACGACATTCTAGTATCTGATACACATACGAGATGTGGAAGTTTTTTCTATAGTCCAGTATAATGTGCTAAAGGAGCTCGTTCCATGCATTTACGATGCATACATAGGACATTAGGTTGTGAAGTGTGATCTCCGGGTATTTGTCCTTTATTCAAATAATATGACATTTCTCGAGAAACCTCAGTATTTCTAAAGAGATGATAGAATGAGAAATTTTTTTTCTTTAACTGCTCATTTTTTGATTCTACAGAATCATTCATTATCTTTCAACTTTGCATGCTTAGTGTCACAGTTAGGGTCTCCTATTGGTAGTAGATTGGTGGGCCTCCTCTTAACACGAAATTGCCTTTCTTTATCCCAGTTGCTGCTATCAGAACCTCTAAGTTCATCAAGTGGAGGGTTTGGTGATCAATAAAACCTTTAACTCCATTGTAAGATGAATGTGCTTCTTCTCAGTGTGGTTGTTAACTGCGAGGGTCTTCTACAGCAGTTCGTAGGTGTTTGCTGTTGCCGTAGTTTTCTTGCATTGGTTGCATATTTAAGTTCATAAAGAACCCATTATATTTGCAACATATCTTTCGTCATTGCTCGCCTTCAAGTCGGCGCATGCACCGATGATTTGATGTTGGATGCTGGCTGAATTACATTCATCACCAAACATTTCATGCATGTTGGCTAGCAAGTTGCTGCATCTATTTGCATACTAGTTTTAAGTTCATAGAAGGCTGGTGTATGTACTTAATGATGGTTTGCCGTTTAATTGTGCAAATGCCCTGGTACTTATTGCAAGTTGCATGCATCTGTCTATAGGGAGCATGGTTATCTACACATGTTAGCTGGCAAGTTGCTACATCCGCCATTATTGCTTATAAGTGGGTCAATCCACTTATTCTTTAGCTAACTATTTTTGACTGCAAGCCAATAAATACTATTTGATACTGATCAGAAGGATACCTTAACACTCATTGTGTGTTGCATTATACATCGATCATTTTTCCCTTTGCTCATGAAGAGTTAGTATATCTGCTTGCTATCGAGTGGTCGTTGATTGCAGGAATGATCTAACATACACCACATGTTGTTCATTTTCGCCTGTAGGTGGACAACTGTAGCATGATAGGTCTCCTACATTTATTTGCAAGTGGTGTATATATTTGTGTCCACAGGGGACTCGTCGTACGTGCAATATATCCTCTGTTGTTATCCACAAATTGGTCATGTTAGCCATCTTTGCTTGCATTCAAATAAGTGCATTCATCTGATGTTGCATATCCATTGATTGTATGAATCCCCTAGCATTTGCATGTTGCTCCAGGCTACTGGATGAGTTGCATTCATCATTGACTTCTCCTACGCATACTGGTTGATAAATTACCATATTCGTTGTCGCCATTTATCAGCAAATTGATGCATTTGCTTATCAACTAATGGTTGTTGCTTATAGGTGGGTTATTTTCACAATACCCTTCTTTCCTTCATGTCTAGTCATGCTGCATCTTTCATATGTAATTGTGGGTGAATCAATGTGTTGTTGCAGATGCCTGCGAACTAGCTGCCATATATTCCTTGTGATCAGGCGACAATGACTACATTGCATTTGCTTCAAGTTCTTCGATCATCTCTTAGTTGGCAATTTACTGCATGCTTGATCATTGCTGCTTGCATAGTTACATATGCTTGTAGGGAAGTCATTATACTTCTGTAATGTTCATAGTCACCATCCATGGGTAGCCTAACATAATTATCTGCAAGATGTTGATGTTGACTGCAGGGCATCACTACATTCATTGCTTGTATCCCTTGTGTGAGTTGATGTATGCATGACAGGTTTTCTATCATTGCTGAAAGCGTCACTACTTTAATCTGCAAGCTGGCTACTGCTTGCATAATAAGTCTTATGCTATTGCATGTAGGAGGTACTTGCATTCTTTGTAGTCAACTAATGTTTTTTGCAAGTCATTCGTGTCTACAGACTTCCCAATATGAGTTCCCTGCTTGTTCGTTAATGTTTATTTGAATGATCAGAGTTATTATTTGGCATTTGTATTTTAATTTTATTGTGCATTTTAAAGTTTAGGGTCCTGTTCCCTGTTGTTCACTAATGTTCTGTTCCTTGCGTTCTATTGCAATCAGGTTTTCTATTAGTCAAAATTTCGGCAACATCTCAGTGTCTCCCCCATTTAGGGAAAATTGGGGGAGTTTTAGTCTTCCCTCCTCGCCTAGAAAGACGTGCACAGTCGGTGTCTGGTGACACCATGACCGTAGTCTTCAATCTCACCATGCCATGAAAGGTGTGCATGGCCTTTAGGGGCACCTGTGTAAAATGCATAGTTTTGTCCCCACCAGCACTGAAGCTTGTACACGGGTACTTAAATTTTATCCCGCCACGCTAAAAAAAGCGTGCATAAGGCTTACCCGCCTTGCCGTGAGCACCGCGACGAGTTCCCTACTACCGCATTAAGAAAAAGCGCATATAGGTGGTTGCTCGCCGCACTGCAAGTGCTGAGGACAGGGTTTCAGGTTTGAGGGATTATACCTTGGCAAGGGGACGTCGGCGGTACACGTAAATTGAGGCACAAATTATTTCCTCTTTTCTCTTTTTTTCTCTTCTTATTATTTTTTTCTTTTTTCCTTTTTTGAATTTTTAATAATAATAATAATAATAATAATTGTTATTATTATCGTTATAATTAACAATGATGATAACAATTGTTGTCACTATTATAATCAATAATAATTTCTACAATAATAATAACATAATAATAATAATAGTAACAAATGTGATTTAGAAAAATGCCTTGGCGAAATTTTACCTGTGATAGGCTATTTTGGCTGTGAATTGAGTGAGGTTGTTGTTGAGTTCAAGCTCTTGTGGATCTCTGTTGAGGCTAGAGGGAATCGGGCAAAGGGGATTGAGGCCGTGGGCTTAATTGGTGTAAGTTTGAATGAGAGACGGATAAGCTAATATTGAGAAATCGACGGCCTTGGATGTGGTTTGAGGGCTCGGTTTGGCTAGCCTATGGTTTGGAGCTATTTTGGATGGAAGAAATCGAGAGGAGGAAGTGAGGGTGAGTTCGGTGCAGTTGAGATTAGGAGAAGGGAGAGATTGCTTGCGATTGGCTACTTGAGGTGGTCGGATAGGTGCGGCTGAAGGCAGGGGATTAGAGGAATCGGGGGGTTTGAGGTCTACGAACAGGGTGGCGAGATAAAGGGAGGTGAAAGAGCTCGGTCGACGTTTGCAGGGCCGAATCGAACTGCACATGGAGAAGGGTCAAGTGCTTCGACTAGCCCGCTTAGCTTGATGGAGCGAGATTACTGCTCGACTGTCGGACGGGGTTTTGGATTGAAGAAAATAAGAATGTCAGCTTATACGGGCAAATCAGTCAAGCCGAGGGAGGGAGATCGTAAGATTTAGGGGATTTGGCGATTTGATTGAAGGGGAGATTGACGACTTGAAGTGGAGTCAGAGGCTGAAGATGATAACTACTCGAAATGGAAAGAGTTCAGTCGAGTGTACCAGCCGAATGAAATATCTAGCCATTCTTATTCTAATGATGAACAGGGACTTTGTACATTTCGACGTGAAGAGCTCATCGTTGACGTGCGAAGAATTTGTGGTCGGACGTCCGACCTACGACGAGGTAAGACTTTTATTTGATTGATTTTGATTTTTTTAATTAATAATAATAAATATTATTATTTAAACAATAATAATATTTAATATTAAAATGATAGAAATGAAATTTTGCCTTGATTTTCGTGAAATGTCTCAAAATTCACTCATTGCAGCCTTGAAATCCGTGCCAATTTTGTCGTGCAATTTTTGTTGAGCAAATTTATAATCATTTTTAGGTGACTCGGGTATTTTGTACGCAACAACGAAGTTCGTTTCACAATTGAACGTCATTTGGGCAGTGTCACGCATCATTTTTGAGTATCAGTCGCCAATTTTGACTGGACTTGTCTGATTCAATTGTGGGTGGTTTCTAGTTAGTGGAATTCGATGTCCTGATCAACGGCGCAATCTGTTCAGCGATCGGTGGTCATTTAACCTTTCAAGTGACGCGTCGCGCCCGCAGACCGTCATTTTTGTCGCCGATTTTGCTCCTTTTCGCGTCTATTTGATTTATAGGTCAATAGAAACCTTTTCCTTTAATTACTCATGTGCCTTGATATTCACGAAGCTAGAAGACGATGGGTCTTATTATTTTATAACATTGATGAGGCGTAAATTTCAAACATGAAGTCTTTTCTAAGTGCATAGTATGTTGCCTTAGTTATGACATTTAAGCATCCGTTGTTTAGTTTGTTTTCTCTCTTCAATTTCTTTAGAAAATATATAAAATACTTCATTTTTTTATTTTCATGACAAAGGAGGCTAGAAGATGCATCGCTGCTGCAGATGGAAACATCATACGAAATTCATTCTTTGAGGATGGCTTGAATAATTGGTCTGGTAGAGGGTGCAAGATACTTGTACATGAATCTATTGGAGATGGGAAGATACTTCCATTACATGGAAGGCATTTTGCTTCTACGAGCAGCCGCAGTCAAAGCTGGAACGGCATTCAGCAGGATATTACTGGTAGAGTGATTCGAAAATTTACATATGAGGTGATTGCTGTTGTTCGAATATTTGGGAATGCTAATTCTGCCGAAGTTATGGCTAGTTTGTGGGTTAAAGGAGTAAATGGCCGTGAACAATACACAAGCATTGGGAAGTGAGTTCCTACAGTAATTTGCAATGCTATATCTATCATGTTATTTTGAAATGTTTCATTTATTTGATTTCCTAAAATTTAAATGTAGTTTATTATAATATTTTATCTGGTTTTTACATGTAGTACTATTTTAACTCTCTTTTTTTTGGTGTCCTAAGATCCGGCATTACTGTTTTTCTAACAGAATTCAAGCATCAGATAAAGATTGGTCCAATTTGCAAGGAAAATTTATTTTGAATGTTCATACCTCAGACGTTGTAATCTACCTTGAGGGGCCACCATTGGGTACTGATATCCTTATAAACAGTTTAGTTGTTAAACGAGCTGAAAAGCCTCCTCGTTCTCCATTACTTACGTTTGAAGTAAGTAGTTATACCACCGGTAGATGTAATGAGATTTTGAAAATGACATTGTACTCTTCTTTCTAGTTTTATAATTGTTATCCTGTTGCTGAAAAATGTTAAATAAATTGCTACTAAGGCTTTGTTTGGGACGGCTTTCTTACTGCTTCTTAAAGTAATTTTCTAGAAATTTTTTAACTAAAAAGCTGCTTTAAATAGTAGTAAGAAAGCCGTCCCAAATGAAACCTAAAACTCTAACAGGAAATTTGCAACTAAAACTCTTCTGCCCATGTATTATTTTATTTCCAGTCATTTATATTGCATAAAAGTAAGTGCTGACTACAAAATTTCACCACATAATGAAACTCTCCATTCTTAACAAACTTTTGGAATATGCATGCCTATAAACAGAAGATTTGCACGCTGTTTGATACATTACTACACAGTACATTTCTTCATCTGGGAGGATGGAGTTCTAAAACCTGAAACATTTCATGTCTATTGGATCATATATTCTGTTACTTGTGATGTAGGAGGTTAATAAAAATATTTGAAGCAAAAAATGCACAACGAAACAATAGTATTCTGCAATAGGAAATGGAAAAACATACAAAATGTGACTGCAAGCTCAGCACGCTTTCTCACAATTGTACACAATATTGCACATCATGTTACTATAACAGATTTATTAAAAAAGTTTCTAACTTGCCATTAGTGCTTCTAGAAATTTCCAAGTGGATTAATAAAGTTAGTTTCTCCTTGGTTGCTCTTATATTAATGCTACTGTCATTGTTACATGCTTTTTTTTTTATAATCATGAAAGCTCTTACCCCTCCAGTGTTTAAGAACAAAGGAGACATCCAATCCAAGCTAATGATAATATCAAAAATCAAATTTTTCAGTCATACTTCCCAAGTCATGAGATTTGATGATGGTACATAGTGTTATATAATTATGTTGCCAATCAATAAAATTTTATGATAAAAAGATATAATATGAGGGAAATTTTGTGTGTTAATAAAAATAATGAAAAAATATTATTGATGTTAAAGTTGAGGTGGTAGAGAGATTTTAATTGTGTTAGCTACGAGTGGAATCTCGCACACAGTAAAAAAAAAAAGTAAAGTAGAGCACGAGTGTAGGACATTTGTTTTTTTAAGAGAAAAATCTAGGAAAAAAAAAAACATTGGCTTTACCTAGTCGAAACATCTTCCATTAGTAGTTGATATGAGTTATAAGAGGCCTTCTTTCCATGAACACAATCAATAAAACTCACAACATTAGTGAAATTAAAATGATACTAGTATCTATGGTTTTGGTGATGCAATGTAGTCTAGTTTTGGGACACTATTTTTGAGGAAAATGTTGCACATCTTGAAGGAAAATAATAAAATACCAATGATGGGAGGACCGTTATGGATAGCTAGGATGGCTTTCCTTTTTGGAGGTAGCGATGATATGATTTTAGGCATTATGCGAGGTGGTGCATGAATGTTGTGGTTGCTATTGAGGATTGTTGGATCATTTCTCTATCAGGGTTAGAGATGGCATGACTTTATTTTGATGAAAGGAAAAAGGAAGCGGTTTGATGGCCATGGAGAGTGTAGCTTTTTTTGGGAGCCTTTATAAAAATTTGTAAACTTCAAAATTTAAGTAGCGTTCGCATATCCTATTTGCTCTTCTGGGATGTGTTTTAGCACAGTCTACTAAAAAGGACAATGGTGATGGTACCATACCACCAACTTCATGTCAATAATGACAGTTGCATCGCCCACCTATTCTATCAAAGGATATTAAATATATGGGTTTCTTATTCAAGTAGCATCTATGCTTATGCTTTTCCTAGACCTACGCCGTAACCTCACTTATGCCTCAATTGTCTCCTATGAGACCTACATTGCTTGCTCTATGCTTTCTCCTCTCCAATATGTTCACTACTCGCTTCATAGTTGTACTTATGCTCATTACACTTTAGTTAGGCTTGTTTTCTGCACTATAGCCAATGGAGATGCTTGCTTCTCTTCAAGTAGTTTCTTCACCTGTTTTATGGTCTAATAAGTTGCTTGCTCCACTTCATATAGCTTCGTTGCTCGCTCTATAGGTAGCCATGATGTTTGCTTCTTTTCTAGCATATTTGTCACTTGCTTTATAACTGATTGTGGGTAGCTTTGTCACTCGCTCCACAGCTATCCATGAAACCTCTTTAGGTAGCTTCTCTACCCATGTTCTAGCCAGCCAGATTGCTTAGTCCTCTTTCTTTATAGCCACTAGTGTTGCTCGTCCTCCATAGACAACTTCATCTCGCCCTCCATAGCTAGTTATAATGCTTGATCCTCCTTAATTAAGCTTACTATGTGCTTTATGTTGATCTGTAACTGTCGACCGGCTCCTACGATCCCACTGCCCGCTCACGATCCCACTACCCACTACTCACGTAACCACCCACTCACATGACACAAGACCCCCACTCGGTAGAAACCAGGGGCAAAGCATTCAAACCCCCGAAATTTCGATGTATAATTGAAATGCATAAAGACCTGCAGCCAAAGCCTCAGCCACTGATTGTTGCTTCGTTCCACGTGAAGAAGCTGCCGATTCTGACCTCCAGACCTACATCTTGAATGCTGCACACACGAAGCCCTTCGATTCCTGCTAGCTTTGTTCTGCGTGAAGAAGCCGCTGACTCCGCCTCCAATCTCAAACACCTAGTCAGCCCTAGATCCGCTTGATCCTAGCCCAAAGCCCTAGTCATGTGCACGTAGAGACCACCACCGGACTCGATCCGCCCACCTTCACTGGTTGTGCTTCCTTCTCCAAGCCCGAAGCTGACCTGACTCATTTTTAAACACTAAAATTGTTGCTATTTTATGTTGGGTTTGCAACACATGCGACATATCTTACGACCAGCCTTAATCAATAGTTCTCTCTCATTATCGGGAGGGGTAATTAACTATAGGGAACCAAAACTTATATCATAAAGCCCTTACAAAATGAGGGCGAAATCTCTGGGTAGTGTCTTATCTAAAACCTAATCTGCCTTCTCAAAATTTACCCCATAACCTAAATTCGTTAAAACTCTCTTTATCCACATAAAACAAACAAGAAAGAGTTGGCGTAGAGAGGCCGGGGCACGGAATTTTCAGAGCCCATACTTTATAGCTAGTCATATTGCTCACTCCTCCGGTAGCTTCAGTGCCCTTTCCACAATCAACCATAATACTTGCTTTTCTTTAAGTAGCGTTATTGCCTGCTCTGTAGTGCTGGTCGAATCGCTTGCTTATCTATAGTTCAGCCTTGTCATCTGTTCTAAAGTTGTCCATGATGCTTGCTTCTCTTCAAGCAGCTTACCACTTGGTCCATGGCAGGTCATATTATCAATATATCCCTTGCTTTGTTAAACAAGGCTTTTGTGGCAAATCATCGTATTAAAGGCGACTAATTCAAATATCCAAAAATAGTAAATAACACGAAATATCTGTAGGAAGATCTGTGTCTTCACCCTTTTAATGATCTTAAATTCTCATAAAAGGCTTATGAATCCTGCTTTAAGATCGGGGGGAATCTTTATTGAGATCTCAAAAGGAAGTTTACATTAATATTCTGGGCATGATTGTAGTTATGGAATACCATCCCATATCATCAACATATAAGTCTAGGTAAAACACCACTCTGCTTGTAGTAACATCAAGAATACAAAGGTGGATGCACTTTAATTTATTCTAACAACTATACGCCACATAATAGGCTTGAGATCTTATTTAGGGTGTAGTCCTAAGAGCATGTGTACATTGTTGTCTAAGTACTAGCTGCTGTTGAAGGGGATCTTTACCAAATTATTCTTCCTTCAATGTTAATCCCAAGTATTTTAGGTTGGCAAAACAAAAATCTTAATAAGAAATAAAAAAAAAGTTAAATAAGTAATAATTCAGAGAATTGCTTAATTTTAAACAATAGCTCGCTTGGGATACCTTAGTAGAGGTATGCATAAGCTCTTTGAGGTACTTGTCTTATTTAATTGAATCACTTGGGATGCTTACGGTGTAAAGCTTTACCATGTTAAGTATGTCTCTTTTCATGAATAACTAAACTAATTAATGTGTTTTGTGCCCATAAATAATTGTAGATTAAGATCTAGTAATAGTATGGCATATTTACCCTTTATAAATTATAGCATTTGTTTTATTAAAATAAGTTCATCCTTCTCAACTTTCATTTTATTTTATTTTATCTTTTGAGTTGGTCTGCAAGTAATATTTATTTTTTTAGAAGAAAGAGAGGCAATTGTAGTAAAGTTATTCTTGCAGTTCATCAACTTTTATTTTTTCATGTAACAGGCAAGTAAACATGCCACGCTTGATTCATTATGTTATGTCAACAATAACATTATCTCAAATCATGATTTTGCTCAAGGGCTGCATTCCTGGCATCTCAATTGCTGTGATGGATTTGTAATATCAGGCGAGTCTAGCTTTTTCAAAGGAACTGCATTATCAATTTTTTTTAAACATTAATTAAAGAAAATAAAATATTTAATAATATAAAAAATAAAAATATATACAATATTTTAAATTGAAATTAATTTTAAATTAAAGATATCAATTTTTTGAGAAATTTGATATATTATATTATTTTTTTGGCTTAATAATTAATTTATTACGATTTAATTAAGTTTTATGATTTTAAAATTATTTAAAATTAATATTAAAAATAATTAAACCGACGGCGGCTCCAACAGGACGCATGGCAGGCGTTGGTTTGTCCGACCAAATTGTGGCGGTGACGAAGACCACGTGGCGTCACCAGATTCATCTGATCAAATTACGTGGCGGCGGTAATGATTGAGTTGAGTCGGATGACGGTGTGGCGGTGGTTGACACGCGTTGCTCGTCGGATGCCTCATGCAATTTCACTTAACCACATTGGTAGATGCTCATGGCCGTTCGATCCTCCGCATTTTAGAATTAACGGCTTGATCAAATCCTACGATCTGATCTCACGAAGGAGAGATCAGACGACAGCAA